GCACATAGTTGAGATATGTGGAATTGGCTTTTATAGACAACCACTGGGTTTTTAAATCAACAAGCAGGTTTCTCACATAGCAGATAAGTGATTGCAAAATGCACTTCACTGTCCAACAGACAGAGATTTACCCAGTGGATAGTGTCATCCAATCTTCAAATAATCAGGGTCTGCAAACTCTTCAGAGCATAAAGAATACTATATGTTTATAATTAAGCAATTAAATCTTACTAATGCATCGAATAATACAAGAATATTACCGGTCCATCAATCAGTGTTTCAGTGATAGTATAGGGCAGTGTTATTTACATGAAGAATTTCAAGCCACTGTAAAGTAAAATTTTCCTTTCCATGATTGTCAAAATGTGTTACAAGGAGGAAAAATCATATGGTTCCCCAAATACACTCCAGGATAAATATCATGGGAATAAATGTTAATTTACAGTCCATCATTCTTGCAACATGAGCAGATTTCCATGTTAAAAATGTGCTTCCTGGAGAAAATCTTGACTTCAGCTAAAAAAAGAGAAAAGAAATTGTTCATTACAATGTAGCTCTGCCAGCTAGACTGATCATGAGGTGAGCAAAGAGAAAAAGGGAACTACAGGTGCTAAGTGAAAGAGTGTAGGCAGAGTCTGAGAAAGAGAACCAAGTTACTAGTTACCAGTATTAAGTTAACCCTTTAACTCCCAGAGGTGATTAACAAGTAATTTCTCCCTACAATATCCATGCACTATTCAACAAACAGGTGATGTAAATACTCAAATGTATCAGGTAGTTGTTATCTTGATCTAAAACCAAATTCTCCCAACTTATTAACGAGGAAATGTGTAGCAGCTAGAGGGTAGAATTAACAATCAGATCTTGGGAGTTAAAGGGTTAAAGGTGTAAATTTACCCACTACATTGACTGAAGTGTATACCAATGAAGTGATAGGAATCTTATCTCATTCATATCCTCAGTGGAATGAAATTTAGCCCAGCTAATGGGTAATGCTCTGAAGACTTGACAAAGAAGTCCCAATTGGAGTGCTGACTGGGTTATTATGTTATATTTTTTTGGCATTAAACTTATCTTACTGCTTTACACTCTAACATCAGTATGCATATACTCCATACTGTTCTCTAAACATTTTTTTTGAGGTAATGGCTGAGAGAATTTGTTTTTTTAATTTGATTTGATTTTGATATAAGGGTTATAATGTAAGAAGAAATTGGATACTAAGCATATTGGACTCTCCCCATGCTTCTCTCCTCTTGGGGATATAAAGAAATGATTATTGGCAAACTATTGTAAAAGCTTGACAAAAGCTTATTAGGATAACCCTGAGATGGATTGGCACCCTTCTGGCTTTGTGCAACAGAAACCAGGATTGGCTCCACTTGGATGGGCCACCCAGCTTAAGTGAAAAATTAACCTATTCCTCTGAGCACTATTTCAATCAAATTTTTTTGACCTTATTGAAGTTTTTTTGAATACCTCTCTTCTTATGTGCTGCTTGACCAGTAGGTAGAACACAGTCATGGTGATGTATGTCATGATGGCCCAGCCCTCTCCTGTAATAGTTGTCCAGATGCACATTGCCTTCCAAGTTTTTTCATTCTGGATCCAGCACTTGTATCCAGTTTCAAGGTTTGCCAATAATTGAACTCCGTTGAAGAAATAAGCAACCACAGTGATCACAAAAGGTACTCCCCAAGCCGTTATGTGAAAAAACATTAAAAACAATCTTTCTGATTCCATGGAAATTCTTCTACAAATTGTTAAGTAAAAAAAGAAGGACAAATGAACTGTCCAAATGAGCGATGAAACAAGCGCAAAAATTCGTGGTATTGTCACCTCAAGTGTTCGAATGAAATAACCTGTTGATCCTAATCTGTCTTCCAAATAATCTACGATGGTTGTGCCAGCAAATAGGAAATCGGCGACTGTTATAAACACGATCATTTTGCGCGCTGTAGTTCGCAAGTCGGGCGACATCCAGAACGTGAGAAAGATTGTGAAGGATCCCATGAGCGAGAGGGAAGCTGTAACAGCAGACAAGGTCTTAGGAAGAGTTCCATCCGTGAAATTTGTGTCATTGGGAAACGTAGTTGTTAAACTAGCTTGAAACTCCATCAAACCGCGATCCTTGGTGCAGAGTCGTGCATTATCCAAAACTTAAAGACTTTAACTATCTAATAATTGCTCTTCATAGAAATCACAACCTTTGTTTCGCATGATCCGCACATGCAGATTTGTTACCTTGTGCATTCGCTTATTAAAGCGCAGATATTGATCCGTTTCAATTCGTTCGCCCTTACAGAGTACTTTGAGTGAGAAAACTGGGGAGTAGAGTACTTGCAATCCTCATTTTAAATGAAAGGTTTCCGAACTTAAATGAAATGGTAGAGAACACATGTCCATCACGATGACTACCATGTGCACTGCACCATTTTGATATCAATAAAGTCACATTGCATTGATGTCACGGAATCCCTCTAATAATTGAAGACAGATCAACCCACCTTTAAGTCAGTAAATAGCCTATGTCTAATCTGAATTGTAGGCGTCTTATTTGGGCGGGTCAACGTTACAAGCTCGCGATATTTGACTGGCCATGTTTGATTTAAAGTGCTGGGAGGGACAGGAAAAAGGAGATTGAGCCCCATCCCTCTCCTATGCTTCTTTATCAACTTCTCTCATACCTTGGTAAAAATTTCTTTCTCTCCCCAGGCTTTAGCCTCCTTCGCAGCCGTTCTCAGACTCGTCACGCAAGGCTTCTCCTCCACTTACGGAGAGGAGGAGCGTTGCGTGACGAGTCTGAGAACGGCTGAGAAGGAGACATGTCTGTGCGTGTGTTGTAAACTTTTCGTGCGGTTATGCCCGACATCTTTGCAGCGTTGGGTTACACGTCCTTGCCAAACATGAGTGGAAATGGTGGACACAATTAAGGCTTCGGAGCAACCAGATAAGAAATTCGGCTTGACCACTGATAACAGGCCCATTTCTCTGTTTCAGCCTGAAAGTCCAGCCAAGCTGACCACAAAATTGGGAAACAACATGGTTTCCGTGAAAAAGCACAATAACGGAAGTAGACCGCTTGCCTTCAGTTTTCAGCTCCGTTATCTCGCTGTCTATTGCAAGTTGTTGTAACTGACGGCATTGGGCTCCGAACGGAACATCAAAACGCGCATCCATTTAATATTATTACTGAATGGGAGCAGTTATCAATACACTAGTCGGTGTTGATCGCCTCCTTGCATAACTCAGTGATCACTACAGCGTTTTCCGATTGCTTTCATTCGAATGAAAAAACGCGTGAGTCGGGGTATCCAAGAAATTTAGAGCCTCACGACTTCTGTTCGCGTAACTCCCTCTTTGCTCACGCCTTTCCAGCTTTACTAGACTGAAAAAAAAAAAAAAAAAAAGGAAGAAAGAAAGAAAAGAGTGCTTGTGTTTTGGTTTGAAATCGCTGAACCGAGTCAGTTTCTTAACTTTTGAAGAGGGGACCTGGGCAGAGTGAGGCTGGGTAAGGGAGGGGAAGGGGAGGCGGTTTACTTAATTCCGTCGCGTTTAGTTTGTCTGGTGGAAATTTCATCTGTTCGTGTTCATTTAACAATTTTCATCGCAGCTACCGTGACCAAGAGTTGCATGGTTAAAACCACGTAAAGACCTGATCTTATCTCAGGCTGTGCTCGATTTGGTGACTTAGACACGTGTTATGACATGTGTTCTCTATACTCAGTAAAAAGCATCAACTTTATTTTATGTCCAAATAAGGAAAGAGGTAACGTGACAAGTGACGCATTTATCGTAACATCTGCCTTCTTTTAGAGTAAGCTAATTTCCGAAAGAAACATATAAACATAAATAAATGTGTTCAAGTTGAACAGATTACTGAAAATTACATTTAAAAAAAGAACAAAACAAACCGAACTTAGTGCAAGTCTAAAAGTTGAAAATCCTTGTTCAAGTGACTGTCCGATAGTCAGTTTTTTTTAATATGAACACTTCGAGTTCTCTTGAGCTGAAGTCAATTTTCATATGATAAACTACATAACAAAGTCACTGAACCTCGAGGGTGGCTTTACAACTCTGGTACGAGTTTTCTTCACTGGAACAGTTTGTGGTGTCAAGATTGGCTTTGGTTCATGATTAGCTGAATTAGCATCTTGCTTTGAAGGCTGGTTAACACTCTTTGAAAGCTCGCTGTAACTGCTTTCAATTGGTTTGGCTTGTTCAGTTGGTTGTGCAGCTGGCTTTAGAAATTCCCGATTTAGACGGAATACTTGATTGTCTGAACTGGTTTTTACTATATAGGACCTGCCTGATAGTTTCTTAATACAGGTACCTGTTTTTCAGCTTTGATTCCTATGCAGAGGTGCCACTCTTATCTCTTGCCCAACTTGTAATTCTGGTAGGGTGCGCAATGTGCGATCATGGTACCACTTGGCCTTTTGCCTTTTCAACTTCAGCTTTGCATTCACATTTTCTGGAATCTTGGGGTACAGTAGGTTAGAAGCTGTAGGTAGTAAGGTTCTGGTGCGTCCAGACATCAATCTCTGTGCAGGGCTACTTTCTAGGGATTCTGTTGGTGTGTTGCGTTGGTCCAATAGGGCTAACCATGGGTCTTTGTTGTCTTTAAGAGCTTTCCGGAATAAAGACTTGACAACTTTCACAGCAGACTCTGCCTTTCCGTTGGATCTGTGATGATGCGGAAGAAGATACGTAAGTAAACTCCCAATCGACTGAAAACTGATGGAACTCATGGCTTGTAAACTGAGGAGCGTTGTCTGTAGCTAGTGTATCTGGAATGCCGTGTCGGCTGAATTGTTCCTTAAAGAATTCAATCACGGAACTGGAAGTGTTTTCCTCCAATTTTTGTACTTCCAAGAAATCCGAATAGAAGTCAACAAGCACGATATATTCCTTGCCATGAAGTGTGAACTGGTCAGCAGCGACTCGACTCCATGGGCGGTCAGGAAGGTCATGGCTTTGCATTGGGAGCTTCTGATTCTTAGCTTGAAATTCGTTGCAAATTGAACATTGTTTGATTTGGTCCTTCACTTCTGCATTCATACCAGGCCAGAATACAGTGTCTCTAGCTTTGCGTAGGCAAGCCTCTACTCCTAAATGGCTGGAATGAATTTTGGATTTCACTTCAGGTCTCAGTAACTGGGGGATGACTACTCTCGAGCCTTTGAAAAGAACACCATTGTGTACTGACAGCTCGTCGCGGTAAGACCAATACTCCCGGATCTTGATTGGTACTTGATCTTTCTGCATTGGCCATCCGGTCAGAATGGTGGTTTTCAGTGTCTGCAAGGTGTCATCGTGACTTGTGCTACGCTGCAATTGATCCAGTCTTTCTGGTGTGACCTTCAGGGCTTACATAGGGTCCAGGCTCTCCAGCTCTAAGGAAAATACTTGAAAAGATTCGTCTGGCCTGGAGGTTTCATGCTGTGCGGCTCTAGACAAATGGTCGGCTAAGAGCATATGGGAACCAGGTTTGTATTTAACTGTCAGGTTGAATCGTTGTAGCCTGAGAAGCATTCTTTGGAGACGGCATGGAGCTGATAGTAGAGACTTCTTAAATATTGACTCTAGAGGCTTGTGGTCAGTTTCGACTAAAATCTGCTCTCTGCGTGCTAGACATTGATTGAATCTTTCACAAGCGAAGACTATTCCCAGACATTCTTTCTCTATGGTTGCATATCTTTGCTCTGTTGGCGAGAGAGTTCTGGACGCGTAAGCGACTGGCTGTCCATTTTGAAGAAGGACTGCGCCAAGGCCTTTATTACTGGCATCCGTCTGAATAGTTACTTCTTCTTCTATGCTGTAGAATTTAAGCACTGGGTGTTGAATAACCAAGCGTTGAATAGTGGCAAAGGCTTCATCATGCTGTTTGGCCCAGGTGAACTTGGACTGGTCAGTAGTGAGCTCTCTTAAAGGTGCTGACACATCTGAAAGCTTTGGTAGAAATTTAGATAGACAGTTGACAAAACCAAGCAAGGTAAGAACTTCAGGCTTAGTCGTTGGTTTCGGCATGTTCTTGATGGCAGTAACTTTATCGGGATCCGGTTTCAGTCCATCCCTTGAAATTACATGGCCCATGAATTTAACTTCTGCTTGTCGAAGCTTGACTTTGTTCTTGTTGAGTTTCAGATGGACTTGTTTGGCTCGTTCAAGCAGGCGAACCACATTCTGATCATGATTAAGAAGTGCTTCCGAGTCGGTTTCACCATAACCAACTACAAGAATATCATCTCTGATAACTTTCACACCAGGCTGGTCTGCGAGGTATTCCTGTAGTCTGCTTTCAAAGACTTCTGGGGCTAAACTTATACCAAAGGGCATTCTTAAGTAACGGTATCTTCCTAGGGGTGTCCAGATAGTTGTGAGTTTATTACTCTCTTGGCCAAGGCCAACTTGATAGAATCCATCTTTTGCATCGAAGGAACTGAAGATTCTAGCTTTGTTGCGCTCTGGTAACAGTTCTTCCAACGTTGGCATTTGAAATTTGGGACGTTGTATGTATAGCATCCTCCTGTATAGGAGGATGAGTTGCAACTTTTCACAGGTTTCAGCTGATAGCAAGGGCTTACACTTGTGTTTTATGACTTGAAACTTCAGAACCTGTTGTTTGCCATTGTGTCTGACATGCAGGTCGCACTCACCAACTGGCTTCAAAGTTGCACCGCCAAAGAGCTTCAGTTTAACTGAGGAGTTGTTCATGGGTGGGTCTCCTAACTGTGTGATAGCTGAGAGGTCGTCCAAGCCAATTACATTACATGTAGCTCCAGTGTCTAATTAACATGCCAAGGTTGTGGTGAAGTCTTCTTTAGCTGATTTGAAGAAACTGATATCTGCAAGCCACTGTTTTGCTTTAGTTTGGACTATAGACACAGTTTCCACTTGCAAACAGCTTTCGTCAGGACTGTCATCCTCGTCTTCTTCGAATTGTTGAATCTTCTTTGATGATCGGCATACAGACGCAAAATGGCCCTTTTTTTGACACTTGCTGCACGTTTTCTTGAACGCGGGACACTCTGTTCTTCTTTCATGACCTTGTTTACGACCACAATACTTACAGGTCGGTTCGAAAGAACTTTTGGATTTCTTTTTTTCTTATTTTTTCTCTAAATTTGACGATCTTCCTCCATCCCTCTTCTTACTACGACTTCTATGGGGAAATTTCTTCTCGCTAAATTTCTTTACGTCTTCTGTCTTGTTGTCTCCAGCGCCTATTATCGTCTTGATTTGCTGCGAGGCGATTTCACTCGTAGTGCACATCTGTATGGCTTTCTTCAAGTCCAGGGATTTTTCTCTCAAGAGTCTCACCTTGTCACCTTGATTCTTTAAACCAATGACGAGCCTGTCCCTGATAAGCTCATCTGTTAGTGCACCGTATTTGCAGGACGCGGCTAATTTTCTCAGACGTCTGACAACTTTGGACAGATTCTTCGCTTTGCTGCACACACGTATTAAAAACATACCGTTCGTAAACCAAATTTCTGCTAGGTTTGAAGTAGCTTTCTAAAGCTTCTAAACATTTGTCGATTTTCTTCTTATCGTCCTCTGGAAGATTTAGGTTGAGTAAGATCTGAAGACACTCTCTGCCCATCGATGAACGCAAAGTCGCTAAACGGACCGATTCCTCTCGCTTATCGAGGCCTGTTGCTGTTTCATAGTCACTCCATTGCTGCTTGAAAAAATCCCAGTTACCAGTAACGTCACCGTGACACTTCATAGGACTTGGCAGCGGAAAATTTGGAGAAATAACTTGAGGATAAATTGGGGCGGTGGGTTGAACTGTATTAGGTGCTGCCACTGATGGCACGTCGATTTGCGCGCCGACTCCACGTGGTCGTTATCTGACGGCATCTTGAGTTCTTTTTTCAACACTTTGAGCTCAAAATTCTCTTTGAAATTACGAATAATATAAGGGAACAGTATCAGCAAGGTACCTTCGGCAATTAATTTTCAAAAAAAAATGCAGAATCCACGGAAAATCCATCCCGTTTCTGACACGTGTTATGACATGTGTACTATATACTCAGTAAAAAGTAACAACTTTATTTTATGTCCAAATAAGGAAACAGGTAACGTGACAAGTGACGCATTTATCGTGACAACACGTTTCGCCTTGCTGGATTACCCTTCGGTATTCTAGAACATTAGTAGACGACCTTTGATCAGGCTTCCCTTAGTTGATGCTGTTACCCTGTCGACGTTCATTTTAATTTGAACCAAACAGTGTTAGGTATTTGCGAAGTTGATTGTCCGTTAGCAAGGCAAGAGAGATGCCAAAAGGACAGTCCCAGCCCTGATTCATCAACAGCTAGTGGAATTACATGACAAACTGATCGACTGTGTAGTAATTCGTCTTCATAAACGCTGGAGCGAAGATAACTGAGAAAATTCAGTGGTCAGAACTTCAAGATGTCTTCTGTTGATGATCTTTCAACTGGTGAGTGGTTCAACGAGTTGCCTTAACTTTTGACTGTTATGATCTAGCTAGGAATACTTGAGGAGGAATATAACTGAATCGACAACTTCGCAACGGAACTCTGCTTGACGCCTAGTAATATTATTATCGAGTCAATGTGCAGGGGCTTCAAGTTTTTGGTTAATTTTGAGGTGGTAGTTTTATTGTAAAAAGTTTCATCAAAACCTGGTAACGTTGTTAATGTGAGGAAAAATGCTCAGAAAAGGCTACGGGTTTTAGTTTTGTGAATAAGTAAACAATTTCGCAACATATTTTGAAATATATAGGCGGAAGCAGACTCAGTATCTTTCTATTAAACGTGGAAAACGTAACTGAGAAGAGTAAGCACAAGGAACTGAGGCTGTAACGTCTTAGGTACAATAAAAATATGGCTTGGAACTGCGAGATCAAACTGCTTCAGCGAAGGAATCGCAAGACGCAACAAACCGATGAAAGGTCAATTACATTCTTCTTCTAAGCATATATTACATAGTTTAGTAATACCGTTAGACCAGCTTCAGAAGCCCGAAACGTGGAATACTACACACTATCTTTAACTGAATGTTGGTGTTGTTTTAATGTCTGAATCAGCGATGATATGTGCAAAGTTAGTGCCAAGTTGAGATTTACCTAGTAAATTACTGTCGTGCACATGTGCAAATTGAGTTGCCCGTCACGCTTCGCGCAATTTTAAAAACTTTAGCCTATAACATGCATCATAAGAGCTTAATGCTTTTAAATTGTTTTGAAATCTTGCTGGTACCTTTTTGGTTTGTTCTTCAAAGTTTGATGTTTTTGGAGCTCAACCAAAAATAGTATTTAGTGGGTTCGTTCGGCCTAAGGACTTCAACATCGATGGTGACTCAGCGTCATGTCAGCTTGTGTCAGTTCAAGCTTGAAAGAGTCCTCAGGTAAGCAAAAGAGAGAAGATACTTGAACGGAGAATATCTCATCTCCTATAAAACTGAGGCACTGCTCTAGTCATTTTTTTTCTGCAAAACATGTTGGAAGACTGCCTAGAATAAATCTTCTTGTGTTCTATCAGTGCTGCAATCTCATAGGCTACGCTAGTCACTATCTATTGCGTGATAGGTAGTATGATGAGAGGCTTAACAGCATGCGATTGTAAACGAACTTAAAACGTAGGCTTGTCTAATTGATAAGGTTTGAATGACCTGCAGATTAAAACTGAAAAGTTGTTTTAAGATTCGCCCTCATCAACTATCACGCGATAGAAATCGCGAGCTCATAGTTTAACTGTTAGTGCAATTTAAAATTTTTCATTATCTGTTTTCCATGCATAGAGAGTAAATTGTCTGTCATCCTTGAAAAGAGACCAAAGCTCATCGAGCAATTGGCCTTATGCTTGGACAGAGAAATGAGATTTATACCCAATTGGAGACATTTGGCAAGGAATCTTCATGTCGACGTGAATGTCATTAAAAGACTTGGGCAGTACAATGACTACAGTCCTACCATCCGATTGTTTGAATTCCTCGAGGTCACACAACCGGATTTAACGATTAAACAACTAAAAGACGCGCTACTGGAGATCTGGAGTAACGACTTGTTTAGTTTGCTGTCTTCGAAAGGTATGTTAAGTAGAGCATCTTCAACGCGTGCAATAGTAGAAGGATCTATTCCGATTTAAAATTTTTTATCACATTAACTAATTGCAGCATTTAAATAACCTCCTTTCATTATCAGGTGATAGCGCTAATGTGAGCAGAGACGAGCTTATGTACGGCAATAAAAATCATGCAAACACAGCAAACACTTGAGTAGTATAATCATATAGAATAAAAAACAAAACAGAACAAAACAGGAATGATGATGAAAAATATAGCCAAACAGGCATACTGGTTACTGTTACAATTCATACTAATCATGACAGTGTCAGAACGAGTGTGAAAATGCTGAACTCCAATGTGTCTAGCTCATCATGGCAATCTCCAGTCATCGCAGTGAAGCAAGGCTCAGAAATTACATTGCTGCCCTTAATTCTGCCTACACTTCTTTCATGCTCTAGCCTCTCCCTATATGCTTTATAACAGAACAGAGTACAGTCAAGGCTTCTCTATTTGTTAAGTATAGTTTACACTTGCCCTCATTTTACTGTCTTTTGTTCATTTATTTGTTTGCTCTCCTAACAACCTTAACTGGTATCCGCCGCTTTCGCCCCCTATCGAGTTCGCCCCTACCTTATACCGTGTTCGCCCCCACACTTTTCGAGTTCGACCCCATCAAGTCGAGTTCGCCCCTTGATTGAGTGATATCCAGATGAGTTGATTCGTAAGTTGATGAGTAAATTATTCAGTCTTAATTTCATAAATAAAGCTAAACGGGTACAAGTCTAACAACTTAAGCAATGCTGTCGCGATGAAAGCGTGGTTTGCATCTTCTCAAGTCTGGTTGTTACGATCACCACATTTCGTGTTCGTTATATAAACCGTATGGTTCTCTTTATCACAAGTTCAGTGTATACAGTTATTTCGCTGACGTGACATTTAGCACATTCCGCTAGTGCCTTCGTCACAAATCAACTCATCTGGATATCACTCAATCAAGGGGCGAACTCGACTTAATGGGGTCGAACTCGAAAAGTGTGGGGGCGAACACGGCATAAGGTGGGGGCGAACTCGAAGGGGCGAACTCGATAGGGGGCGAACGCGGTGCAATTCCCTTAACTATATTATTGCCAACAAATAGGAAGAGCATATAAAATGTGTACAGTTATTAACACTTTAATCACTGAGAGTGACTAGCATCTTAAATATCTCCTTTTAGCATCATCCCTGAATCAAACATTAAGGTCATGAGAATAAAGGAAATGGTAATCAACTGAATAACCTCTTGACTGTTAAACAAATTCTCCTTGCCAGCACATTAGGAAATGTATAGAGAGTGGTATGGAGAATATGCATACTGATGTTAGGGTGTAAAGGGTTAAAAGCATCTTGTGATCAGTTTTATTTATGTAGAGTATTGCTTGAATATATAATTGTGGTAAGTGCAAGTGCCTAGTAGACATCATTCTTTTATCATTGCCTCATCACATCAGATTCTCATCACATTTTTTGTTACATTTGAAAACAGAAGAAAATTTTAATCATTACAATATAATGAAATCCCCCATTTTAACCCTTTTAGTCTTACTAGTGACTTAGATAGAATTTCTCTTTACATTATCAGACTACAGTATCAAGCAGACAAGTAATGAGAATAAAGAAAAATATCAAAAAGGGGATTATTGGTTGATTCAATTCCAAATTCTCCAACCTAACATCACATAAATTGTATGGCAGACAGTGAGGAGAATTACTAATGAAATCTTGAGAGTTAAAGGGTTAAGACACATATGGTAATCATATGTACCAGGAAGACAGCGCATGAATGTAACATACTCCAGTAAAGTGTTCTTATAGACAATGAAGTTTCAAACTCATTGAAATTAAGTTGACTTCATGATTCAGATTTTAGTTAAAGAAATGTGATGAAAAGAGAAGGCCATTTATGAATTTTAAAACAGTAAATTCCAAAAACTTAAAAACGGAATTTAAAAAAACCACTTAAATATGGCATATCTATTCACTGAGATTTTAATCATTAGCTGGCACACAGAGATATAAAAGAGGCTTTGTGAAAAAAAGCAAGGCAAAAAGATCAAAGATTCAGGAGAAGCATATGACATCAACAAGTTTACTGATGTTTTCACCTGAATTCAATCTGGAAAGAGAACTCTGGAACACTTCTGTTTTATCTTCTCACAATTGAATTAAAACACAAAATTTAATTATTTGCAGGCAGGTTAAAGAGGAAATTAAAGGAATTGATATATGTTACATAAAAAGAAACCCCTTACAATAACAATAAAGCAGAATCATATTACCTTCACGTATATGCTTCTGAATACAGCTATATCAGCTATTTTTTGAGCAATTATCTACATATGAAACTCGGGTGCAATATACGGTCACCGTGGTAAAAGCAATTATATTCTAACCTTCCTCCTGGAAGGTTGCCTTGAGTATCAAATATATCAAGTTCGTTACCTCCAGAGTAATAGGGCGGGCTTTGGGGGCTACAAAATAATAAGATAATCAACGAGTTATGGCAGGCCAACTTATCGAGAGTCAATTAAGTATAGTTTCCTAAAATCATATGGAAAGTTTAAAACGTGTTTCACCTGTGCTACATAAACGGATTTATCGTTCTTAATTACTAATAAAATTCCGCGAGTGTTACACAATTAATTCAAAAGAAAATATCCAAGCAGGTTACAGAAATGGTTCACGAATTGTAAACTGATGATGTATTAACAAAACTTCAACCCTAAATTACGGTGCCGATACGAATCTATCGTTCATAATCGCTTATGACATTCCGAGATTGCACCTCAATGAATTCAACAGAAAATATCCAGGAAGGTTACAGAAACGGACTCTCAAAGACGGGCCTTGTACACAACAACTATTTACGCTAACCAAGTGCTTACCAGCGTGCTTGTGAGCTCAAATTGCCAGGACCCTGTTTAATTTCACGATCACAGCTCGGACGCTTCTTGCAAAATATAATGATTATCAATTTCAGAGATTGATTCTTCAGTTTCCAGCATTAGGAAAAAATTATCGTATCGCAACCATGTTCATCTTAACCCAAGCCGCAAGTACGCCTCGAGATGTTGAGATAATAGAAAGTGGCTCCATGTTTTGTGAGACAAACCATTTCCTGAAGTTCGAACGAATCGAGTAGAAAGCATGAAAACTTAGCACTGAAAAGTACCATGACTAAACAATGAAATTCACTCATCCCGCAGTAGGACTAACTCCATTTAACCCGTGAGTTTGTTTGCATCACGCATTTGCGGTCGGTAATTTAATTATCATGTTTGACAGGTTCTCACATGACAATATTGTCAAAATCAAATTACCGCGTCAGACTTAATGTAAACATGGACATCGCAGAATCAATTTTATTTTATTTCAATTTTGGGAAAGGCCATTACTTACTTTTTAGGGTACAACAAAGCGCGATTTTTTTAAAGTGAATTCTGCCATAGTTAACTGAAGAGAGAAAGAGTTAGAAACTTGCGCTTACCGTTCGCTATAATTTGAAAACTTTCTTAGAAAATCAAACTCTTTAAGATAACTTCTTTTCCCTTAACACCACGACTGTATTAAACATTCCAAACGAAAGGACAAGAAATATCTTGAAGAATACGAACACTTTGAAATGTTAATCGAGCGATGAACCGGCGTAAGGGTTTTTAGGCGATGAATGTCAAAGTTATTGTGAGTCTTATGAAACACTGTTGGAACACTTGGAAGTTCTGCTCATCACGAGTGTAACATATCTTTATTTGTTTTCTATTAAATTTTTCTCCACTGTATGAGGTAGTAAATCAACGAGGTTCTCAGAAATTCAGGCTGAGTTTGTTTCTCTTACTTTGCTTGACAATTAGCTGTTTGTGCTGACACTGAAAAAGTTGTTGATGTGATCACTTCGCCAAGTTATGAAGCTCGTTCACCCACAGCTGGTCTTTTGCACGAAATTGCGTTGGATTTAGACGGGAGTTCACAGACTTTGTCCAAATGGTACGCCTTGGCGTTAAAACTGGGTGTGCCAAGATATACCTGCTGGACGTTTGAAAGACGATTGACAGAAAATCCGACCAGTATGATGTTCCGGTACTTGGCTGTCGCTTGCCCACAAAAGACACTTTCAAGTCTCATGGAAGCTCTGGAATCTATTAAGAGAAAGGACCTGATGGTATATTTTAATTGGAATATACTAGAAGGTAGAGTGTCAGCACTGCATCACAAATAAATAAAGTTTAACCAAGCCTAATACCTCTGCGGCCAGGAACTTGTTTTTCAGTTATCAAAAGAAAAGTTAGATTCTGCTGCTTTTCAGGTAGTCCCTATGTAGAGCCCAATATGCAACTGGCTGCCTGAGTGTTTCAAGAATCAATTGAGCAATAGTTCTCTCTTCGTTAAGGCCCCGTTCCTAGGAAGTTAACTAATAATGATCTGGGGCTACCTTTACTTTTCTGTAGGCGACATGTTACTTAAGGATATCATAACCCCTGAATCGAAACTCTTAGAAAGTTTGGCGCTAGAACTTGATCGAGAGGAGAATTCTGGACGAAAAAACTGGAAACATCTGGCCTGGAAAATGGAAATACCAGCTGACGTATGTCGAGCGTTTGCTAATGTCAATCAAAGTCCTACGAAAGAGGTTCTAGAATGGGTGGCCGCGCAGCTCCCTGAAATAGCATTAAGTGACGTTGTAAAAGCACTAAATGAGATTCGGCAAAACGACGCTATACAGATAATATCTGAGTATTTTCCAGTTGGTAAGTATTCGCTGAAATAAGTACTTTGGGGGTTTTTGACAGCTTCAGTGTTTGCCTTTCCTGAAATAATCTCTTTGTCTCATCGCTATGGCACTTTCAGTTTCTCGTTCCCAAGCCTGCTATTTTTCGTCATATAAGCCGTGATCTCTAATGTACATTTCCTTGTGCCCCTTGTACAAGAGATGGTTTGGAGAAAAGCGATCGGGTACAGGCACATGTTACTTTTTTGGATGTCACAACGACGCTTCACATGAAAAACAGGAACAATAACAATTTAATTCTACACAAAGAAAGGCCTATATGTACATCTTCAACTCTGACACTCTAGCTCTGATTTTTTTTTTTACGTCACAAGGTCCGTAAAACTACTCTCGCACATGCGCAGTACGATCGATTTGATGAAGCTATTGTCTCATGACATTGAATACCTTTTCTCTTTCTTAAGATTCAGCCTTGCAAGGACTTGGTGAGACTTTCAACCTAAACGAAGAATGTTCCTCTGCTGAAGAGATTTCCCTTGAAGAGGACATTGCTCCTTGTTACGTTTTGGCTCGGGGTGAAAAGGCTATAGCAGCGTACCAGAGAGCTTTAGAGGAGGGCGAAATAATGGACAGACGTGTCAAAGTCATGCTTATAGGCCAGGACCGTGCTGGGAAAACTAATGTTGGGCATGCCTTAAAAGGCGAGAAATTTAACCCAAAAGAATCGAGTACAGATGGTGTACAAATGCACGAGGTCCTGAAAGATGTTGGTGTTCAGCCATGGAAGAGTTCCATTTTGACAAAAGAAACGACGACATACCATCACAAATGTGCCGAGTTAATATGTAGAGATTTGTTGACTGGAATAAATCAAGAGTCAATGACTACAGCAAACGAGGCCTCCACTCTCGAACAAGGTGAAAAACCTGGTAAATTTTTCAAAAACTTCAAATTGCACTCGCTCTATTGGGTCGTGCAATTTTTTTGTCTTTGAAAAATTTACGCGTGCTTATTAACACCAAATTGCACTCGAAATCATGTTGTTACCGATACTTATACCATATTACACGTACGGTGACGCACGTATCAAAATAAATTTGCATAATGCATTTTTATCTAAAAGTAATCCTATTTTGTGACGGTTGACATGTTCTGTTCAATTTCTTTCAGATCTTCCTGTACACTCCCAAGTTAATTCAAGTCCAGAAATGGAGGTTTGACATAGGCAATAGTGAATATATGTTTCCAAGAAATTTTTTTTCAAGAGATTATAATCTCTTGATATTTGTGTTTACATTGCTTAAAGTCCAAGGGATAGACAGAATTTTCGAAAGTTTCGCGTGCTTCTGAACATAGCTTCGTAAACACGGAAAAAGACCTCTGCACAATTATCAAAAAGCAATACGAAAGTATATTGCTTTACCTCATTATTACGCACGTGAAAAAACCTTCCTGGTCAGTATGTTCCCTTTCCTTCATGATTGCCCTACACTACACGAGGGCCAAGCGTTTCTATCGTAAGTGATACACAAAAATTTGCTATTTTGTATTTTAATGTTTTAGTATCTTTCTTTCTTTCCCTCATAGGGTTTGAAACACGAGACGTCCTCTGTCCCAGAAGAGAAGTTTGATGAAGTAAAGCAAATAGGGCCTTCCGCCAACAACACCCGAAGAGAATTCGAGAGGGAGGCCTCTTGGGAAAATATTACTCGCATTGTGGACGGAAAACTCCGAGGAAATGATTCTGATGGCGAAGAAGGAATTTGGCCAATTATTTGGGATTTCGCTGGTCAGGCTGTCTACCGTGCCATCCATCCTATCTTTATGTCATCTGAGGCAATTTATCTCTTGATGGTTGATCTTTCGAAAAATCTTTTCGCTGCAGCCCAGTGTCGTGTAAAAGAAAATGGTCGAGAAGAAGTCACTATTCCTGCCCCCGATTGTAATGATACGAACTTTGATCATATCATGAGATGGTTGGACTTGGTTCACTCCTTGAGACGTTCAAGTCGAATGCCTCCCGTGATTCTCGTTGGAACACACATAGACTTAGTAGTTGACCCTAAACAGAAACTTGACGATTTGAAAAGTACCCTCTGCAATAATTCAAGAGTTCTCAGCGATCACATTGCAATAGCCTTGAATGTAGATAACACCAAAGCTGGCATAATCTCCCCTCAAGGAGAAGATACAGGAATTACCAAATTACGCGAGAAAGTTTTAGAGACGGCCGGCAAATTACAGCAGACAAAAAGGAAAGTTCCCCTGAAATGGCTCCAGGTTGAAGACAGAGTGTATGATATGGCAAAGAAAGGCACAAAATACACAAAACGGGAACACTTAAGGCTGAAAATAGTCGACGAAATCGGCCCGTTGGAAAAGGAAGACGACTACGAACACCTCTTGAACTTCCTTCATGATCGCGGCACTATTTTGTACCATGTCCAGGCCGAGCATCCCAATGGGTTGATCGTGCTGGATCCACGATGGTTAATTAAGGTGCTCTGTAAGATAGTATCTGTTAAAACCCACGAGGATGAAGAACTGTCCCTTTTTTCGCTCCGCCAAGATCTAAAAGAGAGAGGTACTCTTCATGGAGAGCTTCTCGATCATGCGTTAAGCGCCCAGAAACTCTCTCACATCAGAGAATCCTTGTTATTCACAATGGAAAAGTTTAATCTACTTTGTAGATTCAACGACAAGGATGGCAAGCCTGCCTTCTTGGTGCCATGTATGCTGACAACCACGCCAGAAGAAGATCTGATTCCTACAGAAGATGAAGGATATGCTCCCGTGTACATCACATTTGACACTGATTATGTTCCCGCTGGGCTCTTCTGTAGAATTCTTGTTCTCCTTGGTAAGTGGGCTGCATCAAAAACCAGTTGGGACCAGCAACAGTTCTTTTCCAATGCTGCCCGGTTTATTATTGGAGATCGGACCTGTCTAGGGCTCGTCTGCCACAAAATTGTCATAAAGGTCCACATTTGGTCAATGGACTCTTCCAACCCGGTAAAGAGGAATCCGACACTCTGCGAGGAAGCCTTCAGGTAAACATGAAATAGAACTCCGAACTAAACACAGTCGATTCTTTTACTTTGAGATTGAAAGGGATCTATAGGAGTCGGGCGTGGAATATCTTTGCCTTAGCTAATTCTGTGCAAGAGAAAATTTACCATCAACAACCTGGAAAGTCTAAATTTTTGTTCATTTCGTCTCTAACCTAGGCTACATGTTTACTGTTTTTTGTTTTCGTCGGCGACAACTTGTTACGTAAACTGACAGTTGTGTTCACTCGAGGAGTTTATAACTAGCCCAAATGACAGGGTAGGCCCTTCTAACTTTCGATAACTTAAGAAAGGCAGAATTCTCCATTTTTGGGACTGCCACAGACGTCTATTCCATACAAACTTTTATAAAACCGGTAATTTGTGTCTTATAGTATTCTCTTCTTGAAACATATTCTAATTGAATGATGAAGCGCTATCTTGTCCAGGGTGATTACAAACATGTCATTTACAACAGGCGGCTTTCGTTTACAGATCTCTTAAAGGGACTCTGACGTTTCTGAAAAAGGAGTGTCCTAGTTAATTTTGCGCAGAAAAAAATTTACCATCAAGAACCTGGAAGGTCTAAATTTTGGTTCATTTCGTCTCTCACCTAGGCTACATGTTTACTGTTTTTTGTTTTCGTCGGCGACAACTTGTTACGCAAGTAAACAGCTGTTCACACAAAGTGTTGATAACTAGAAATATAGCCCAAATGACAGGGTAGGCCCCTCTAACTTTTGATAAGTTAAGAAAGGAAGAATTCTCCAGTTTTTTTTTTAATTTTTGGGACTGCCACAGATGTCTTTTCCATACAAAAGTTTATAAAACTGGTAATTTGTGTGTTACAGTGTTCTCTTCTTGAAACATATTCTAATTGAAACGATAAGTTGAGGGACTAATGAAATTATATATATTCATTTATATTCATACATGCACGTATATATTCGATATTCGAGGGAATGAAGCGCCATCTTGTCCAGGGTGATTACAAACATGTCATTTATAACAGACGGCTTCCACTTACAGATCTCTCAAGGAGACTTTGACGTTTCTGGAAAAGGAGTGTTACTGGATGCGTGATGTTTCCTGGAAGTTCTCTGGTAAATGCAACCCGTGTCTGGAGAAAGTAGATCCCAAGATTAAAAATTGCTCTCGGCATGACAAAAGAGGATGTGACAGTGATGACTGTGCCCACTATGTTGACATAAATCCTCACTCATTCTTCTGTGGAAAGGCTAAAGTTCGTGATCTGCGCCTCAAGTGGACTTGGATACAGGTCAGTGCCAAAATACCTCTACATAAGATTCCATTTCAGAACTGTTAAGCCAACCTGTAGAGCGGACGATTATGTAATGAACAAATGCCTTTACATGGTTGAATTTTTCTTTAACTTTAAGGCGATATTTCAATAACTTAATTCATACTATGACCAACAAGTTAGTGCTTAAATTATCCCTTTTACCGTCGAGAATAACTTGCAGCCATTTTCAAAAGAGCAAAAAAGGGTTCTGCATATTGAATAAACGTAATTATTTTAAGGCAGAACGGATCAAGTGAAAATTCGTGTGGCTAACAATCAGCTATCAAAGCTTGAAATTACGCTCAGGAAGCGAGGCCTACAGATATTACCGGCACCAGTCGGTAGCACACCAAACTACAAGGGTTAAAAGCCTCTGTAAGCAAGTCAAAAACAAAATCCAAATATTATATGAAACCATGGCAGGAAAGCTACAAATATGATTTTTTTCGACGAAGCACTTTGGTCAGATATTATACTGATAAATAGGAAAGCAAATTAATTCCTTCAGTTTACAGTGAAGACCGTTCAATGAAGCGTTTTTACAGATAATGTGAAACGCCATATCGATTCACGTAAATGCTCTCTAAAATTCTTATTCTAAACCTATTAATGCTACTATAGCACAGAATGGTGATGGTTACGAAATGTTCTGTCTCAGGCATTGCCATCCAAGGAAGCGAACAGCGTATCCACCACCCACATTAACATGGGTAAGTCAGTTTATACTCTGAATCACAAATAGTTCAAAAAATGTTAGTGCTAGTACTTACACATTTTTAGAACACAACTTTAAATTGTGCTTATCAACCATGCCATACGCCTTCCTGAGCCGATGCTTTTATAGGACTCTAAACATCCGGGTAGATGACGAAAGCAAGTCATTAGTAAATTCTTATTTGGAAATACAGTTCTGTTCACTTACACTAAAAGCGAAACTTCACCACTTTTAGATGTTTGAAGATAAATCATTATCCTACTAAGACTATTGAAAAAGTTGGAAACATACAATTGATCTGAAGGTCGCACCCTGAGGTTTAAATTTTTTTGCACGATAAAAGTGAAAGAGCTCGACCAAATAGCCTCAAACTGCTGGTAACAACGCGGAAGGTTTTAGTACTTCGCTTCAAAGAACTGATAGCAGTGAATCGGAAGAGGGGAGAATTTAATTCGAGTATCTTTTTGAAGCCTCATTTACGAGGGAACCAGAACCGCTCAGTGAGTAATGAACATAGCTTCGTGATTTTGGTAATTTGAGGTTCGTGGCGATTCCATTTTTGCCAAATTTACTGTTTGTAGCACTTGCTGCTGAGTTTGACGAGGTCCTAGTGAGTTTCAATTCAAGCAGAGGAAGTTTAAACAAGGAAAAAATTTATCTTGATTAAAATGTACAGTATAAAGGAGATTAACATTTCTACAAGGCTCGGTTGTTCTCGGCTTTCCATTTCGCTGCTTTTCAACCATCACAATGAAGAAAATTGAGAATTTGTTAAAGTTAGAATGTTATCTTCACAAGGTAAAAAAAAACTTTTTATTTGTTAAATCTCTGTAACTAACGTCTATTTCAGTTAAAAAGTCCCAAAAAGGCAAAGATCTTTTCGCCAGCCCTAGGCCTTTAATCTCTCCATACGTGTTGGTTCATTAGCACTATTACAGAGGGAGACAGAGTGTCTGACTATAACGCTCGTGTTTTCCTCGAACAAATTGCAGTACTCTTAAGCATAAAATTCTAACTGTTGTCGTCATTTTGCGTTCGGCTGATTTTCTTCAGTTTCCCCATAGTTCCTGCACGGATCAGCTTGACATCATTTCATTTATTAAGTCAGTTACTGTCGTTCAACATTTGTTCATTTCCTTTGGGCGCTTTTCTTTCGACAATTTGATCAGATCACAAAAAGAGATTGATATTGTAGCCATAGGGCCCCCTCTTCCTACATCGAATATTCCGCGTGGCCTTTCACGATATAAAACCCAGATTTGATCTATTGCTTCATTAGGAAAGAGCCCGCCCATACTGTATAAGTTTTATCAGATGAGCATGGCCACATCCCACGATCTTACCAGGATTTAATTTACAATTGCAAGAAAAAGTTTGGTGGCAGCGAGTAGTGTTTTAAACGAGTTTACGCAAAGCAGTGTGTTGTTTGTTGCTAAGACTTGTCGAGCAAGTTCTGGGATTTAGAGTTGTAAACTATGATATCAGAACTGCTTTGAAATAATAAGCAGTTATTGGATGAGGTTGAGCATGATATCATGAATTATCAATGCCAAGGTCTGACTTATCTGCCAAGGCGAAATCCGAATTCAATAATTGTTTTGTTATACATTTTAAGATCATCTGCAAAAGAAGACACTTCTCTCTGAGGTTGCAAAAGTTTGAGAACCGGCTACACGGGCGAGGGGCTTGGAAACTAGGCAGACTTTGAACTCGACATGATAACCCAATTTTGGGTTATCATGTTAACTTTACACACTATTATATATGGACTGTACACTCTCAACCAATCGGAGTTTTCATAGTAAGTCTAATGTATGACAATTGTATATAGGCCTTAAAAAGTTTATAAAGCGCGGCATTCAGTTACATAGATGGCAGGGACGTACATGTTGTGTCGTTTGCAGTAGAATCTTACAGATGAAGCTAAAACACCTCTCATAAAATTCCTATAATGATAATTACGAAGACGGTGGCTTATTGATATTGTCTCAGAATAATACCCATGATACATGTTTCACGAAATCTTTCAATTTTTTTATTTCTCCCTTTAGTCATTTGTGTTTGAGACTGGGTGTTTCCATCCAAATATTGAAAAAACTTAAAGGATTCTACCAGAAGATTCTAGCAGAAAAACTTTTAGAAATAAGTTTTCTTTTTAATGAGAACTTTTATACGCTCTGAAAACTCTTCCGAATGTTACATCTAACCTTAAGCAAAAATGAGACGCTGTGCTGTAATTGATCGATTTTCATTGAATTGCTGGGATTGTCGTATCTCGTCTCCCCCCCTGTACTTAATGTTTCCTGAGATGGTTCGCTGTCGTGCAATATTCACTATTTTAAACTTTTCATGGCTCACCTCCGGAAACCGATTTTTATTGCGTACCTTGATTACTTTTTGCAGTTTGGTGCAACTTTTAGACGTTGGTTTTCTTTCATACTCATGTTATTTAGCTCGTTTTGCTTTGATTACACTTTCAGAATTCAGAAAAATGTCTAAAAGGCAAAAAGAAACAATAAACGGTCATTAGAGAATGGTGGATTTTAATGCCGATTCATAACACAGTGACAACAACAAAAATCCTCCTGCACCTTCATAAGAATTTAATTTAGGATCGTTTTTTTTCCACAAACACTTTAGACAAATATAGAGTAGTGAGTTGGATCTCTCACCGGTTTAAACATATGCATATTCAGTCAAACTTTAGGGGGATATTCAGATACCCAAATGGTCTACTTACATTGATAAATCTTGCTGGCGGCATTTTAAGCTAAAAGGTTTGATGACGAGCTTTGCACACCGAAAAAATTATGCAAATTAGGCTGAGGCAGAAGAGAAGAACTGACTTCGCGCCCATAGTACGATGAAGGTGTTGCGGATGAATTTTCGGTAATTATTTTTTTAGCACTTTTCGGCGTCTAAATTGCATGGCGAGAGTAACCCAAAACCTTGCAGCTGACCCTTCTTGTCATAATACGAATGTTTTCCAGATAGGTACACGTGCCCTTGCATTTTTCAAGGTTAAACCCTCGAGTAGAAATAACAACTCATGTTTACTTTAAAATGCGCAATGTAAGCCAAAGAAATTCTACAATTTAATTCAATGATCGAAATTTTTTTCAAAGGATAATAAAGGATCGACACCGACCTATAGCGTTCACTCGTGTGGAGTCAACTATTTTCTCTAGCCCCTCGCGAAACATACCATGCAACTCGACAGTGGCCCAGAGTTAAAACGGATGAGTTTTCCACCAAAACCATGTATTTTCGATTTTTAAACGCTAACAGAAATGTAGTAATGGTATGTCCACTCCGGAAGATAACACCGCAAACAACAGCAAGCTCTAACCGCGATGAGAACATTCATGCATCTCACAGCGCAACAGAGGGTGTCTCCAAACCGAAGACCGAAGACCGAAGACTTCAATCAATTAAATGAAATGTGCTGAAACGTTTTTTTCAACGCCAAAACAATGAAATCGATCAGGTCTTCGTTTTGTAGTTTTACCCGCCTCAAACTACAAAACGAAGACCTTCGCCAAAACGCTTTATTTGACGCCGAAAAATTGAAATCGATGGGGTCTTCGTGTTGTAGTTTTGCCTACCTCAAACTACAAAATGAAGATCCCTGCTAAAAGGCTTTATTTGACGCTAAAACATTGAAATCGATGAGGTCTTCGTTTTGAAGTTTTACCCGCCTCAACCTACATAACGAAGACCCTCTCTAAAATGCCGGTGTCCATTTTGTGGAAATTGCCGCCTCAAACTACTAAACGAAGCCCCCGTTTGGAAGTCGTTTTTTTGTAACAAGGCCCCCTTGTTACAATAAATTCCCCCCCCCCCCCCACCCCGTTTGGGGACATGAGATTTTGTAATTAGTCTATCTTATTCCCTATTAAAAAATCCACTTCATGCGGCCCAGTTGATTTGTTTTGAAACAAATATACATTCAAATACATAATAATGTTGGCTGTTCCATATTAAATAACTCGTTCCATTTAAGGTTTCACCGCAGTTGTTTGAGTTGCACAAAACCATTTTAAGACGGAAACGGTGTTTTAAGATTTGAAATAAGCGCTCCCTCTCTATCGAGGCCTGAAATTAAATAAGCGCCCCCTGGGGGCTTAATAGAGCTTTTATGGTAATTTATATTTAAAGCGTTATTGACTGGTAGTAGTGTTATACAACCATAATGTCGCACTTGGCAGCTGTCTTTTAACAGTTTTATTTACCAAAAGCAACGGAATAAAAAGTTAACCATTAACCGTCTTGCTATGACCTTTTGTTGATTTCTTTCTGATAAAATTAAGGTGGATACAGAGAATGGACATTAATGCTGCTACGGCTAGGGAATGTTTGCAAATGCTTTCGTGTTTGTATTTTCCACACACACAAGTCGCATGATCGCTGAAAACAGAAACCTGTTCGGTTCTGTTCTTTGAGCTGGCGCCTGCAACTTCAAATTGGACAGCACCGCCGGTTTGTAAACTTGCCTTTCGCTGTATGGCTGTAGGGTGGTTTAAGTGGTACAGGACTTCCTTTTTCAAGGCCTCTACATTTTCTTCGGAATAACCGTGACTATTGACCAGTTCTTCAACGATGTCTGTATCTAACGACCGAAATTCTGCTGTTTCGTCGGCACTTGAAGATTCAAACGACGGCCAGGGCACATCTTTCTGTTTGAAGACGTCATTTATCGAAAGCTTCTTAATGCCAAGGACGTAATCTTTCCTCATCTCGGGTGTCCATTCGAATCACACGTCAGCTGGCACTTGTAGATATCTGGCGTGATCTGCAAGGGCGTACTCCTCACTGACCCCTGCGATGGCAGAGTGCATCTCTTCCATTTGGTGTGCATTAAAAACCTCAAACACGTTTTGCGTAAACTTAATCATGTTCAGCTGCGAGACACGAGTTTTTGTTTCAAGAAAGTTTCTCTTTGCAGATTTGACGACGTTGTTCGTGGACTCTGAATTATTAGTGAAACAAGGTAGAAACTTCAGAATATTTTTTGCAAGGATAATTGACAATACCGGTAAATGAAATTGTGCTTGGGGCGAATTTCTTGTTACATTCGCTTTAATTGAAATACTTCGTGATGATTGAGGCGGGTAAAACTATAAAACGAAAACGACCCCACCGATTTAAGTGTTTTAGCGTCAAGTAAAGCGTTTTTGACGAGGGTCTTCGTTTTGTAGTTTGAGGCGAGTAAAACTACAAAACGAAGACCCCATCGATTTCAATGTTTAAGCGTCAAGTAAAGCGTCTCCGATCTCCGGTCTCCAGTCTCCAGCCTCCGGAGACCGGAGGCTAGAGTAAAGAACTTTTTCCGGTCTCCGGTCTCCGGTCTCCGGTCTCCGGTCTCCGGTCTCCGGTCTCCGGTCTCCGGTCTCCGGTCTCCGGTCTCCGGTCTCCGGTCTCCGGTCTCCGGTCTCCGGTCTCCGGTCTCCGGTCTCCGGTCTCCGGTCTCCGGTCTCCGGTCTCCGGTCTCCGGTCTCCGGTCTCCGGTCTCCGGTCTCCGGTCTCCGGTCTCCGGTCTCCGGTCTCCGGTCTCCGGTCTCCGGTCTCCGGTCTCCGGTCTCCGGTCTCCGGTCTCCGGTCTCCGGTCTCCGGTCTCCGGTCTCCGGTCTCCGGTCTCCGGTCTCCGGTCTCCGGTCTCCGGTCTCCGGTCTCCGGTCTCCGGTCTCCGGTCTCCGGTCTCCGGTCTCCGGTCTCCGGTCTCCGGTCTCCGGTCTCCGGTCTCCGGTCTCCGGTCTCCGGTCTCCGGTCTCCGGTCTCCGGTCTCCGGTCTCCGGTCTCCGGTCTCCGGTCTCCGGTCTCCGGTCTCCGGTCTCCGGTCTCCGGTCTCCGGTCTCCGGTCTCCGGTCTCCGGTCTCCGGTCTCCGGTCTCCGGTCTCCGGTCTCCGGTCTCCGGTCTCCGGTCTCCGGTCTCCGGTCTCCGGTCTCCGGTCTCCGGTCTCCGGTCTCCGGTCTCCGGTCTCCGGTCTCCGGTCTCCGGTCTCCGGTCTCCGGTCTCCGGTCTCCGGTCTCCGGTCTCCGGTCTCCGGTCTCCGGTCTCCGGTCTCCGGTCTCCGGTCTCCGGTCTCCGGTCTCCGGTCTCCGGTCTCCGGTCTCCGGTCTCCGGTCTCCGGTCTCCGGTCTCAATTATTAGTTTTAAATTAAACATCCACGAGAATTAGGGGCAGACGCCACCAAGACAAAAACAACATAGACGGAAAAAATACCAGAAAGTTAGTCAACAGAACGTGCACTTACTAAATGGTGTTAATTCAATTCGAATTGGTTGGTTATCGCAACAGAACCAATTTTTGAACTAAAAAAAACATGGCTTTTTCGTCACGGCTTTTCATGGTTAACGTTGAATTAAATCTGTAAAGGAAAGATATAATTAGTCCATACAAGTGAATTTAATCTTGCTGAGATTCATGCCAAAAATTAGTATGTTATAAGTTAAAAACGAGTCTAAAATGAACAAACTCCCCAAGAGAGACAGAACCAGATGAAAAAGAAAAAATAGAAAGGTTCTGCGTTGAGATAACAACAGCCCGAATAGGACTGACTGCCCAAGAGAGACAGAACCTGGTGAAAAAAAAAAAAAGTTCTGTTTTCAGATAACAACAGCACAAATAAGACTGACTACCCAAGAGAGACAAAACCTGGTGGAAAAAAAAAAAAGAAAGGTTCTGCCTTTAGATAACAACAGCCCAAATAGGACTGACTACCCAAGAGAGACAGAATCTCGTGAACAGGGTGACAAAATCAGACGAAAAAAAGACAAAAATACTTGTTCTTTCCTCACTGAGATAAGACAGGTAATTAAGGACTGATAACCCAAGAGCATGGTTAAAAAATAACAAAAGAGCGAGACCATGTCTAGGATTCTGCTTTTGAAACTGGGAAATATTACAGTAAAATTAGTTAGAAAACGCACTTACCTGCCAAGAGCCCGTCATCTTACAGAGAAAGAACATTTGAGGTGTTATGTCAGGATTCATTCCATAATTAGTTCATCTTGCTCATGTAAGGTTCTAACACTTGGATAATACACTTAGTGATTTTAAGCATCCATCATCTAAATACCAGATCCAAAGAATTAAGTCCTTTTCTTTCTTTGAAGGCACAGAAGCAAGTTAAACCTTGCTTTGCTGATAGAAAAGTTCAAGCATCATTTTTGGCTCACGTTATTAAGTAGCGAGGTTTATCACTGGTCATCATAGTGCTCAAAACTGAAGTCATCAGGCATACAACTTTACCTTATCGTTAAATTGGTCAGGCCAGCGAATAGAATTTCTTTCGCGCGAAGTAATACACAGTTAAGACCTTACCTTAAAGAAAGAACGACAACCCCTTTTCGCAGATACCGCCGAATACACTCGTACCTTTGCACAGAAATTTCGCGGGATTAAGTTCCCGCGCTTACCTGATGTTTGGAAATGATATTTTATACTTAAAGAGCTCATAAGTTTAGACACCAGAAATGTACTATCAAAATATCTACCCAATCGTTTCAAGCGTTAAATGATGCTCCGGTATCTCAAGAATATAGTGCAGTCGAAATTTCTCTCGAAAACAAGGCCCTTGCCAAGCGGTTCATAGGTCTCCCTTGCTGACTCAGAGTCAAAGTTCTGATCAAGGTAGAATATTTGTTAGCTATCACAATATAGCTTTGGAATTGTTGTGGCAGAACAGATAATCACTCTTTGTGACACAAACCAACAAATATGTAGATCACGGACAGAACATGCCGTGTACAACAACTGTTACTTGATTCTCACGTCGCGCAGTTTAAACAGGCTATCCTCAAATGTCATGAAACGTTTGGGTTTAGCTAAGCCGTTCCTGTCGCGGAATCATTCCGCAATTGTGAAAAATTGTCATTCATGCTATGACTGCGTAATTATTTCCGAAGAGAAAATTGTGCGAAAGAGTCTAAAATTTACGTAGCACTCGCTAACGCGGAAGACGCGCGGATCCTCGAGCCCGTTTACATTTTAATTTTCAATTTTAATTTACGTTGACAAGCCTATGAAACAATTTACGCTCCCATGGTGAGAAATGTTTTCTTGAGCAAAGCTCGTCAGTTAGTGGGTTCGTTCTAACTAAGGAGGTGACTCAGCGCCATGTCACTGAGCTTACGTCAGTTAATACTTGAGTGAGTCCACAGGTAAACAAAGGAGAGAGGATACTTGAATGGAAAATATCGCCTATAAAACCGAGGCACTTCCTTTGTCTTTTTTTTTTTTTTTTTTTTTTGCAAAATATGTTTGAACACTGCCTCGAATAAATCTTCAGTGCTGCAAACTAATTGGCCACGTTAGTCACTATCTAAGGCGTGATAGGTAGTAGGGTGAGAGGCCTAACAGCAAGCGCTTGAAAACAAACTAAAAACACGAGCTTGTGTTACTGATAGGGTTTGAACGACTAGCAGATTAAAACTAAAAAGTTGAGAGTCAAAATTCGCCTTCATCTACTATCACGCGATAGAAATCTCGAGCTCATAGTTTAATAGTTAGAAAGTGTAATTTGAGAATTTTCATTATCTTTCTGTTTTCTATATATAGAGTGTAATTTGTCTGTCATCCTTGAAAAGAGACCACAGTTCATAGAGCAATTGGCCTTATGCTTGGACCGAGAAATGAGACTTATACCCAACTGGAGACAGTTGGCAACGAATCTTGATGTCGACGTGAATGTCATTAAAAGACTTGGGCAGTACTGTGACTACAGTCCTACCATCCGATTGTTTGAATTCCTCGAGGTCACACAACCTGATTTAACGATTAAACAACTAAAAGACGCGCTACTGGAGATCAGGAGGAACGACTTGTTTAGTTTGCTGTCCACGAAAGGTATGTTAAGTAGAGCATCTTCAACGCGTGCAAGAGTAGAAGGATCTATTCCGATTTAAAATTGTTTATCACATTAACTAACTGCAGCATTTGAATAAACTCCTTTCATGATCAGATGATAGCTCTAAACTATCTAGTGGAAGGAGACAGGGGGGCGGAAGTCCGGGAGAACAGGAGGCGGGAGAGGGCGGGAGAGGGCGGAAGAGGGCGGGGGGCGGGAGGCGGGAGAGGGCGGGAGAACAGGGGGCGGGAAGCAGGATCTTTATGAGGGCGAGGAGTGGAAGCAGAAATAAAGAAGGCGATAGTTTGTTGTTTATCGCTGGGTATTATTCAGTCAAAAACTTTTATCTAACAAAGTTTTGAAATTTCCATTTAACATTAAATGAAACTTAGTTTAATTAAGAAAACTGACCTGTTATAACTTTAATCGGGACCCAATGACCCCCCGCCAAAACAAAGGCCAGGAAACGAACAAGGATGTTAAGTTTTGGCACAGTTTGAAAGTTAAACCCGGGTTTCTGATCCTCTTGACTAACCTGAAGACGGGTGGGATTCGGGAAACAAAGGGGCACAAAAGTACGGGAAGCGGCAGACTCTGATCCCCTTGTACTCCCCCCCTATCTAGCATCAAAAGCTTTTAAGTGACTCACTTGCTCTTCGGAAAACAATCGGTAAGAAAATAATACTTTTGTCTCCCTAACGCGAAAGTATCCCCAAAATTTGCTTTTGTAGTTTGCAGCTCGGTTCACGCTTCCAAAATTATCGAAACGCCTGTAACTTCTTCGAGTAACATACCTTTGAGGGATTATTAAACTGTGAGATTGAGGTTTCCTCCCAAGTTTCGACCATTTAGTATGAAAAGGTTCTTGAATTTTCCTCGGGTGGGACCGGGTTTGATCACCGGCATTACAGTTCTGCCGTCACGATCAAATAGGCGGAATGCTAAAAAAAGAAATAGTGCCAATACATGTAACGTATATTCCTCTCTCTTAGCTGAGTGCATTGACTCTGAAAAAGTAAAAGACATAATTATGTCACCAAATATTCAAGCTCCTTCACCAACAGCTGGCCTTTTGTATGAAATTGCATCGGCCTTAGACATCACCTCTCCGGTATTGTCGAGCTGGTCCGACTTGGCAGTAACACTGGGAGTGCCAAGAAAAACTTGTTGGGAGTTTGAACGACGTTCAACAGATGATCCAACCTACAATCTGTTGCAGTATTTAGTTACTACTTGTCCAGAAATTAAACTAAAAAGTCTGAAGGATGCACTGTATTCCATTGAAAGGAAGGATGTACTAAATATTCTACAAGAACAGAATCAAGGAGGTACTTACCGTAAACATTAATCTATCCCAGACAGAGTAAGTTATAATCTTTTGGGCTCTAGGGAAAAAAACTAGCAAAACCTTGGTAACGGTGAAGACTGTCTAGCGTAGCCTCGAGCCTAACCCTGTTAAAATATGGACTTTTCTTTGGATTTCTCTCTGAAATAGGAATTGCTACATAAATGCAGATGTCAGTCTTTCCGATGAAGGATCAAGCAGTATTTCCATGGTTTTCCTGTCAACAACTAGAAACATTATCAGAAATAACTTGCCTCTTGATTTTAATCAAGATTTTAATTTGAAACGTAAATGCCAAGATTTTAAAACTGTTCTTAACATTTGCGAATCGATGAATTGAAAGATAACTGAAATAACAGTGTAATGTTTTCGATTTGCCGATATTTGTTCCTTTGTAGATGAAGTATTTCTGAAGGACGTAATGGAACAAAAACCGGAACTTGTAGAAACAATGGCAGTAAACCTCAACCGCGAAAAAGTACCGGGTGTCAAAAATTGGATCCATCTCGCCAGCAAACTGAACGTGCCCGATGATGTGCGTCAGGAATTTGATGCGATCGAACAAAAGCGGAGAAGTCCCACCAAGGAAGTTATTCAATGGGTGGCCGTTAACTTTCCGCAGAAAACATTAAGTGACGTCGCAAATGCATTGGAAAGGATCCAGCGTAACGATGCTATTCAGATCATTTCAAAGCAATTTCCAGACACAGTTGGTGAGGAATCACTTTGAGAATGGTTCGTTTTACAAATAATGATAATCATAATAACAATAATTTAGCAGTAGACATTCCACCAGATGGCTCTTCCTGTCCACTATTTCTTGATCGAATTGCAATTGGGAATGTTAGTTTTTGTGGAGAGAGGGAAAACCGGAGGATCCAGAGAAATACCGCTCGGAGCAAGGACGACAACCAAGAAATTTTAAGAGCTAATGTCAACATGCATCAGACAAACAGCGGCAAGTCACCCAAAGTTTGCTTTCACTCCTACTTTCTTATTTTGTAGCCTAATACGTCTTAATGATTGTGGTGTAGTTTTTTTGTGAAAATATATTTCAGTTTTCGAGAAATGATTTTTTTAGTTTGACCGCTCAAATAGGCAAATTTTCACCGTAAATATTACCCGAGTTGTGTGACCCCATGTAACGAATTTACATGACCTTAGGTATTTCTGTCAACATAATCCTCTGTTTTATCATCTAAACTTAATCCCCTGTCATTGTTGAAACTGGGAAAGAAATATTTATATTTGGTGAATATTTTTTGTCCGACGTACTTTCTCTATGTCGAAAAGTAGCATCAAAACAAAGACAGTTTTAACAATGACCGATATGACATAATCTACTGAGCTTCAAGCTTTTATAAGACAAAAGGATAGTTTTAAAGTTAATGTAAAAATTTCCTTGTGTATTTGTGTTGTTCTATCGTGAGACGAACTCCAAGTCACGCAGAATTTACTTGCTAGCGACTATGAAATACACATGGTGTGCCTACTTGTCGCCACCGTTTACTGGCATAAATCATTACAATTTTAAAAAAAATCTTACATAATACTCTTACCTTGTTTATTTATGATTTCATCAGCTGTTTCGATGATCAAGTTATGTTATAAAATAATTCAAATAGTACGCGCGCTCTGATTGGCCATACAACCATTTTACATGAGCGTATGTAAACACGGTTTTCGTTCCTCTTTCATTAGTTATTTTATAAAAGAAATGTAACATTTACATCAGGCTATGTAAACACGGAAACCATTTTACTTTTCTTCACTCTACCACATTTTAGCCAGATTTGAATTCCAGTTTATAAATCTTCTCCACATTATTATATCAGTTGCATGACAAGCGTGACGCATAAATTCAAAGATGAATAAACCTTCGAATTACCGAGAGATGGGCTTTTTTTCCTCTTTACTTATCTAGAAAAACCCTCCAAGGATTACTGTATTCAGAACACTAAAATATCCAGATCCATCAATGATTCTTTTGCCGGCGGATGTCAGAATGTTTTCAAAAGTCAATTCGATTGACAAGCCACATACTGATTTAGCTAACTTATCTGTTGTATAAGTGTCTCATCTTTCATGCGAACATAGAGATTTGCTGTTCATTTAAATCGTTCGCTGGTGGAACTTTTTATCGAGAAGACCGACGTTGCATATCTCAGGTCATTCCCTTGTGTAGTTGTAAAAAAGACATTTCAAGTCACTTGCGGAGTTGCAAGTTTTCAGATTCAGAAACTGAAGTTGATCTTATTTTGTCGCGTGCCGGTTGTCCTAGCGGATTTTGACCCCCAGCAAAACTGAGTGAAAACATCATCCTTGACGTTCTAGTAGAAATACTGTACGTTCCAGTGCGTACTAAAGTATGTTTTTGATTAAAAACATGCAATTGGCAGCTGGAAATGACCCTTTCCGCGATAGTCGAACACCGTTAGATTCAATAACAGACAAACTTTTGACTTTAATTTATTTTGTTATTGTTCAATGCCCGGGTGTTTGGACGACATGGTACAGTGCGAGTTGTGCGAGGAATGGTTACACATGAGCTGCGAGGGATATAAGATTGCTCTGGAGAGCAAGTGGCTCTGCATTGTCTGCAAACCGCTAGACTCTAAACGTCTTCGTAATTGTTAAGGTGTTATTTCTCAACGGTTAATATTCGTTGAAATTAGAAAATAAGATTGAGTTCGATGTAATAGTCACCACTTTTATAAGGACGTAGACATTAATGTTGATTTGCCTTTGAAAATAAGCTGAGAGTTCCAATTGTTCAGAATAAAAACATTTTTACTTACCATAGGCTTTACGAGCGACTTTGAGTAGATGTTGTTAATTCGTTCTTGCTCAGAAACTGTTTAATTTTATTTAGTTAGAAAATCAGACTGAGTTATTTTTGTGACTGGATGCAACAGTCTCCACTAATGTTATGACGTTTCGTATTAATGTTGATTCGCATCAGAAGAAGCAAAGATTTACTGGAACAATTTCAAGAGTTCGAATGCAGTAGTTTGTTCGCATTTAATTATTGCGTATACTGTACGACTAGCTCTAATAAATGCGGCGGAATTGGAACGAAATGGCTGTTTTTCTTTACCTTTATTGAGGAATGTTGTGTTGTGATGGAAAAGAACATCGGCAAAAAGCTTCCAAATAGAATTAGTGACCAAGTATGATACAAACGATGGTTAAAGGCACGTTTGGTAGGGGGTCCAAATCTGTGAAGGGGGGGTCCAAATCCGCTGTGACAAATCCGCTGTGACCAAGTATGATACAAACGATGGTTAAAGGAACGTTTGGTAGGGGGTCCAAATCTGCGAAGGGGGGGTCCAAATCCGCTGTGACACCGGCATCCTCGAGACGCCAAAAGATATCGATGAATTTACAATTTGCCCCACTCAGATCAGATCTCGGTACCAGTGTTGGGTAGAGTCGTGGTTACAATCGTAGGTGTAGAGTGCCTAAAGAAGTGTCCGGTCATGGTAAAAGTAGGGTTAAGTCGATTCCAAAAGCCGATAGGGGAATTTGCAAGCGTGTACCACAGATGGTACGCAAGACGTCTGGAAAATTCATATAACCTGGCTCTGGTAAGTAGGCTACTTACCACCTTGTGCAAAATTACGCGTCCCGTCAGACTTGGGTCTCGATTGGGAATTGGTCAGTAGGCTACCAAAACTCCAGGTAGAGGCGGAGTTTTGTATACTAATGTCTGAACACTTTGTCGGCTTTCCGCCATCTGGCGGGACGCATAATTATGCACACGGTAGTAAAGGGCCCTTCTAGCTACTGGACGCTGACAAAACTTTTTTCTCTTCACCGAAAATCACGTCAAAATTTGTCTTAGCTAAATTTCGAGTGTGCTGCAGGTATCAGCACCCCCTGGGACCCCAAGACGTAAGAGGACGTGGATGCGCGCTGGGAATCTCGAAAACGAACCCTATAAAATCATAAAAGGTACCGGAGTCTTATCCGTGTGGGAGTGGCAACAATTGATGTCTACCCCAAAAAAGTACCAATTTAAGCACAACAAATCTTAAAATCCAGAAAATAAAAACTCCTTTATCGATGCGCTCCAGAGGCTCAAGTCAGATCATTAAAATCGTCCTAGTTATGCTAACTTTTGTTTGTAACATAACTTGGTAGGGATTAAAATAGCTGTACGTCTGCATTTGTTAAACAGACTATTCAAGTGCGTCCAGAACTCGTTGTGTACACTTCTAGTGTATTGAGTATTCTTTTGTAACATAGCCAAAGATCTTGCGATATCCACTGTTCAAGCCTTTTTTTCTTTTCAAAGAGGTATCAGAATTATTTTCATGTCAAATTAGCAGTAAACTACTTACGTGCCACGCTCTGTTTTCAAGGTGTCCGATCAGGTCTGACTGAAAATGGCACCTCGCTTTGATAGGAATCCTTTTGTTGTTGCTTCTTACTTCCTGAAATTATCACTTGAAATTCGCTCCGTAATATAAAAGAAACAACGCGAGTAATACATACATATCCAAATTCTTTCATCACATAAAAAGTTATAGGACCTGACAGTATCCTAGGGACAGACCATTAGATTTTTGATGAAGGGGGGGGGGGGTTTGGGCAATAACCCCCCAAAAAATTGAACACAGCCTTAATAGAAGTAAAAACATTGGCAGAAGTCCCCCCCTCCCCGAAAATGTGAGACAGTCATATATTGTACATGAAACTGCAAGAAAATGAATATAAAGGTTTTGATTGTAATCGCATTTTAAAGTACACATCAAATAATGGGCGGGGCTTGTTAAAAGCTTTACCACATTTTAGCCAGATTTGAATTCCAGTTTATAAATCTTCTCCACATTATTATATCAGTTGCATGACAAGCGTGACGCATAAATTCAAAGATGAATAAACCTTCGAATTACCGAGAGATGGGCTTTTTTTCCTCTTTACTTATCTAGAAAAACCCTCCAAGGATTACTGTATTCAGAACACTAAAATATCCAGATCCATCAATGATTCTTTTGCCGGCGGATGTCAGAATGTTTTGTGATCTGGAAAGTTTATAGTCCGTAAAATTAAATTTCGCCAGGACTATAGCAGATTTTAACAAGCCCGAAAAGCTATAAATTAAAGTTAGTATCACCTTAACGTCGCAGTGAGCGATCGTCCTTCTTCTTCTTCTTTTTGCCCATTTGAACACAGGCGGCCCAAGCTCACGTCTCGAGAAGAAGCAAACAATGAATTCATGAACGCATCACGCGTTGTATGACTCGTTGTTAACTTACAAGAGGAACTGTTGAGAATTTTAACACGTTATAAGGAATAGACCGGAATAGTATTGGGAACGAAATATGGTCGATTTACACCGATAAATATTTCGAAATACGAACATTTTACACGTAAAATCAATAAAACTTACTCACAGCTTGTGTCCTTTGTGTTACTGTTTCTTTCGGGCGTTGTTGCGAATGTTCAACTTTTTCTCTATCTCCGACAAAAACTACGGTAAAGAACTGAGAACAGTAGCTTTCAAAGCTCAATTCATCTCCTGCAACAGTTCCAAATTTTTGCTGTTGACCTTAGACTCAAAATAGGTATTTACGAGCAAAATAGGCATTTATGCACCTATCCTGATCATTTCCATTTCCCGTCCGCTAAAGTCCTGTGACAAAAAAAGAAAAGGAAAAAGGAAAGAAGAGAGAAAGAAAGGAACTAGAGTGGCCGGTCTTAAAAATAAATAACAAGACTGTTAAATTACGTTATTGAACTCAACTAATGGACAAATACTGGCCATTGAAACGAAAAGCGGCATACGGATGAGAATAAATATACACACATGGTTATGTAGCCCTTGCGTAACTACACGCAAAATCGTCATATAGCACAATAGAAATTCCATTTGCTACATCAACTATTGTTCATTTAATATTTGGCAGGTGAAAGCTAAAGCTGTTACAAAAAAGCTTTATGATGGCTTCTCGTCCACCGTCAATATCATTTACCAAGGAAGCAACTAATTATGCACGACTTTGTCGACTCCTGATTGGAGTGGGCTCCCAGGTATTACGAGAGAAATTCAATAGCATCCATGACCCTGCAAATCTCCATGTTATACTTCACAGTTGTATGCCTAACCTGGAGTCTCTAAGATCCAGAAGGATCCTTAGCCAAGCACAGTGGGACTCCATGAACCCAGCCGTACACGAAACGGTTTCATCTGAGAATTTTGACATCTCTACCTTGTGCGTGCTCTTGATAAACATCTGTAACCTACCACCTCCAGCAACAGGTTGGAGACGCCTTCCAGCTCCAACGGATTACTCTCTTGGGGCAGACATTATAAGAATGAGACATTTCAGAAATTCCTTGTATGCGCATGTCACGAAGGCCTCCATTGATGAAACCAGCTTCAACAGCTATTGGAGTGACATTCGAGAGGTGCTAGTGAGATTAGGAGGGGCGAGGTATGACGATGTGATAAGAAAAATGAAAACTGAGTGCATGGATCCTGATACTGAAAAAGGTTACAAAAGCCTTTTAAAAGAATGGCAAAAACAAGATGATGACATCAGAGATCGACTCAAATCGATTGACGAAAAAACGGAAACAACCAATGAATTACTGCTCGATTTAAAAGACCATGTAGTGTCTCTAGGAGGTATCCCAGGTAAGTCAATCAAACTGTGCAACTAGCAGTAACTTAAATATGGCTTTTATGGCTGTTTTTTATTTTCACTAGTGACTTCTTTCTGACGGAGAGAGCTCAGCTCCAAATCAATTTTTTTAGAAAAAATACTTATTTGATATTTGGATTTATAGGTCTTTTAAGTTACCTTTAGCCCCCTTAAGGACAGAAAGTGTTACTTGAGAGACCAGGAGAATATCTTTAGTAGCTACTAGGGTGTTCTATTTTCGCTTTGTTGGAAAGTCAAAATTAAGTTGTGATTACAGTGAATCAAGAATGAGACTTGAAAGTGCTCTGGGCACCGCTCGCGTATATGTTAACAGCGCAGACGAATGTCATGGTAGTCAGACGCGCATATACAATCTTTTCGCGCACGGTCGAAAAAATGTGCGACACATGTTCCATTGTTATTCAGTGCTATGTTTTCTTTGTAGGACATTGTTGTGTAAAACAAATAACTTTTAGGTTTGAAAAAGCGGCGAGTCGACAACGGAAAATTTACATAATGAAAAAAGCTATCATGTTAGACACACACTTGTCGCTTCGCTTCGCAAATTTATCGAATAACGAGTAGTAGCAGTAGAGTTGATTGATTTGAGTTGTTGATGAATCAGGTGGGAGTAAAATTTCCGCACAGCCCCATACTACATTATGCATTCAGTTCTTGGAGAGAGAAAATATTGACAAAAAAATACATTTCCACCAGGAAAACAGATTTGTTTTACAATAGTATGGAGCTGTGCGGAATTTTACCCAGGTGGGAAGGAAAATGTCACTTACATAAGACATCGAAACTCGTGTATTATGAAGCGAGTAACGAAGCGAATACTCACTAACATGCTCTCTTGAATGTTTACGCAACGCAATGTCAACAATTTGGTGTTTGCATCACCTATGATGATTTCTTCAAAACTTCGAAGTTTCCTCGATTACTTTCGATGAGGAACAGAGCGAAAATATATTATTTAAGATTGTGAAAGATGTCTCATTACATTCATTGCAATCGGCGCTCACTTCAGTGTTTTATTCAACGGAATGTAAACAGTTTCGTTTTACATCGCACGTAATGATTTGTTTGATTGCGGAGCGAATTATGTTGACTACAACGATGAAAGGTCAAGTTTTAGTAATTTGCAATGTCAAAGACGAAAATTCTTCTGAAAACCGAAAGCGCTGCTATAGTACGACGCGAAGGAAGAGCGCCTAAGTGGCTCCTTCAGGAGTCACCAATTTTACAAAGTCTTCCATTGGCTTAACTGACACAAGAATGATTATTGCCGTATTGAGGTTTTGATTAATTGCACGCGCCGGCGAGTCTAAAACTTGGGCCAAATGTGTCCTGCATTTAATTTTTCCCTTCCCTTCTTCGAGCAATTTGCTGAACATCTATCGATGATTTGACCAATATTAAAACAATAGAAATTTGTATACGAGTCAGAACAAGTCATTGTGGTGAAAGGCAACCAAACTGATGAAACACAACACCATTAATATAAGCGAGTAGAACTTAGTAGTTTTTGTACAAAAGGCGAGATGAATGAACCAGTTTTCAAGAACAGCATGTTCCCCGATGATAAAAGCTATGAAATAAGCATTTGTGCGGGGGTTTGCATTCAGAACGCGACAAATGGTTACAAACGGGCGCCTTAGCTGCTTCTACCGAATTACGATACACTGAGAATAACTTTACTTTAAACACATTCCCAAGCCGTTGCGAAGAATGTTTTTTTTTAAATTATACGAAGCGTAAAGTAGCGACTTTGACAAATGAATTCCGTTGAAAAACGAGAAATCGTTTTTATATTCCGATTATGAAGTCGTATTATTAGTATGTAACAGCATATGATTATCGGGAAGGTCGGTTCGAACAGTGATTGAAACGAACAAGTTTGCTTGTCGCTGGTAGCCGTGTATTATTTTCATGCTATAACATTGCAGCCTATTCTTTAGAACGATAAACTGCCAACAAAAGGAAAAAAAAAGGTCGACCTCATACATACTAATGGTGCAGATGTAATCAAACCTCTACGCACACGCGCGATTTTTTGACGCGCACATTTTTCTTCAATCGCAATTGCATGCGATTTTTGGCGCGTTTTAATCGCGTTTTTCGGTTAACGTATACGCGAGCGCTACTGTACTTCGCCTTCCACCACCTAAGTTCAGCAAGGGGAGATACAACCTTGATTGATGTGCTATTTACTACTCATCAAGATTGTCGCGACAAAACCTCAGTAAGAATTGATTCTACCACTCTTTGTGTGAGACAACTTACAAATATTTATTCTCGGTATCAACAGACAACTCGAAGTAAAAGGCTGTCTAACCCATCACGGCGTGAATAGTGATGTGGCTTTTTAGATTTGGCTTCGGTAATAAGGCGAAGTGAGTAGGCTACATATATATGCAGCCAATTTTGTTGCCGTTCTGCGTGACTAGACTCACCCTCAACATTTTGCGGTGTCACGCGAATCGTTTTCAGTCACATTGGCACGGGACGTCTGTCAAACATGGCGCACTCCACTCCATCACTGAATATTTCGCTACCCGCTCGAAATATAGCAGAGTTCAATGCTTTCTTGGTTAATATTGCTGACCAAATAATTGAGGAAGAGTTGGAGTAAATGAAATTTCTCTGTGTCCGACAAAACAACAGTAATTATTTGCCACGAGGAAAGCTCGTCGCTATCAAAAACCAACGCGAGTTTCTGAACTTCTTACGCCAACACGATAAGATCTGCCCAGAAGACGTGTCCTATTTGGTATGGCTTCTAAGAAACGTAGGATGCATTGATCTAGCTGCTTCAATTGAGGAACAAGGTAACAATCTGATTAAGACCCGTGCATGGATAGATTCGCTAAGTCTGAATGAGGCTTTCATTGTTTTTTCTCTGTAAATAATGCGATTTGACAGATCTCAAATTAATTCTTGTCACGTCTTCGACAAAATCAAAGTTGATCTAGCTGTGAGAGCGTAAGAGAAAATTTATAATGGAGACAAATGCGCCAAAATTGGTGGTATATTTCACAGTCGAAGAGTTTGCATTTGCAAATTGTAGCAGCACCAAATTTTCTTAGATTGGGGAATTTGAAACGGCGTGCTTACTTCGACATACTTTCATTGGTCGCTGAGTATGGCATCGATCATATTGAGAGCAGTAATAAGATAAGAACGTAAAATCTGACTAACACAGTCTATAGACTGTACAATTTTACGCCGCTATCTGCGGCGGTATATTTACATACTGTAAGGTTTTAAGCCGTTAACTGACCGCAAAATAATGTCACTTGATAATACTTATTTGCAAAGTGGCATGTGTTAGCGTGAAGGTTATCGAGTTACACAACAACATTGAAGTGAATTTATTTTTCGGATAAATTTGTGATTCAGCGTCCGAGTTCAAATATATACTTTGCTCTAAAGATATAGGAAAAGATTAGGGTTGATTTTTAGCAAAGAGGTAGAAGAGGACGATGCTGAACTAGCATCGCGCCTATGAAACTAGATTTTCAACTTCCACGCGGTTTCTACTTGCATTTGTAAACAGTGCCACGGTCGTCGAGAAAAGTTTGATCATTTGCCGCAGAATCTCAAGGTTTTTACAGATTTCTTTAGGAGATAGTTACGCTGAAGGCGTGAAGAAATAGCAGCTCTTTTCTCAGTTGATAGAATCGCTGCAAGAAACAACTAGTTTCGCAGCACCGTTCGCAGAGACCGAAAGTTGAAGGCGGAAAATCCTTGTGGCGCAAGTACATTAAGATAGTACACCTGGTCTCCTGTGAGAGCTTTAACGGGCGGCATAATTAATACAGTGACCACTTTCTTCTAGTGGAGAGAGGCGATCGATCACTGGCACTCCTTGATATATTAAAGATTTTCTATAGACAGTTAGTAACGAAACGGAGACATCGTTACCTTCGAAAAACATATCTATGGCCTTCTGCTGTTCTTCTTGAAATGTCTCTGTCCCAAAAGTCGCGCAAACTTGCCTTAAAACCTCGTCGTAAATCGTTGCTGTCTGAAAAGTTGACCATGAAAGCTTTTTGTTCACTAGCCTGCAGTGCAGGCGTCTTATTGGTGCGAGCCAACTTTATAAGCTCGCGATGTTTATCCGACCGGCCATGTTTGATTTCGAGTTAGTGGACTGAGGGCGTAGGAGGGGGAGGGATTTTTTCGGAATTGATCCACCGAAGATAACATTGGTTAGCAAACAAAAAACTTGTGATGCCTCAATAACTTACACTTCTGTCATATTACAATGCATCCACGAGTACTGTCCTATCTATCTTGATATAAAAGCACAAAAAGCAAATCAAGTGTATCCTTAAGCTTTAACCTGTAATCAGGCCTGTTTTGCATCTGGTAATTGTATAAATTAATTTTAACATAGATGGTGCTTGAATTCCATTGTAAAGGGTTCTTAGGGTTAGCCAGGCGTGAGTAACCTCTTCATGAATCTTTCCACTAAGGAGTTCACGCACCATGTGTTCCCAAGGAATTTTGATAATTTCCCTACCTTTTGCTCCCACAATTCTTTGTCAAATTTTACAGGTACTACCAATTTCCCTTAAGAGTGTAAATAATAAGATCACACTGTTCCAATCATGCTAAAGCTAACTGTTCTTGCATTTGATAGTTTCAAAAGGTTATTTTTTGCATAGTATTTGCCAGCCACTTCAACATAGGGTTGAAGATTTCCTTTGCTAAAAATGCTCTTGACTTCCAAAAGTTTCTTGACACCACTCTTAAAAACTTGAATTCTGCCTGGAGAAGCTCCCAGATATAGTTAATGCGTGGCTATAAAAAGGCCACATTGAAAAACTTCCATACCCTTATGTTTTGTTTAATGTTCCTTGTTATTCTCTTTGATAGCCACATCTTTCTTCTCAGATACGCGGATCAGACTAATTTTGTCATGTATATTATTATGCCAAAAAAATATACAAGCACAATCTTTCAGGGCCTATTTGTGGTCTTATTTTTAGAATTCCATTGGTATATCCTCGACTTGTTTCCGGGACACTGTTGTGGTCGGCTACCGTTCGGGTATTTGTTCAAACTTATTCTTTTTCGTATTTTAGGTATACCGTCGTCGCCGGGTGGTTTACCACGAAATCTTCCGTATTTAACCGCACACTTTGTTGGAAGAGACGTGGACGTAAATGAAATCTTGACGAAACTGCAGACCTTTCGTATGGTTGTTCTTCTTTCCATCCCGGGAATGGGTAAGACTGAAGTGGGAATCCGTGTAAGTCACTTGTTAAAGCAAAGGGGAGACCAGTTTGTAACGCATATTCGAGTAGAAAGTCATCATCAGAAGCTCGAAGACATCTGCAGTGAGATTCTTGATCGACTGAGTAGTCGCACCTTTTCGGAAACTGCTAATTTTAAGTCTCTTGCGAAGCGTAAACTATCGGAGCGAAATATCCCAACTGTCATTGTACTAGACAATACAGAGAATATACAGGGCGAGGAATTTGATGAATTCGCTCAATGGCTTGTGAAATCTGCCCCGAATGTAAAGCTGGTAGTCACTACTCGAAGACATGTTGGATTCGTGTCGCCAGACGTTTGTAAGTTCCCTCTCGCACCTTTGGATCCCGACTCGTCTGCTAAACTACTTCGGAGTCTTGTTGATGACTGTAGCGAGGAACACTCCAAGGAACTTGCTAAATTATGTGGTGGGATACCACTCCTGCTTGTGACCTGTTCTGACTTGCTGAACAATGGTTTTAGTCGCGAGCTATTAATCCAACAGCTCGTGAATAATGCCATAAAACTTTTCAGGATCAGTGCGAAAGATGTTTATAACACGCTGGAAGTATTTTTTGACAATTTTTCCGATGAGGTAAAAGAAAATCTTGTTCTTTTTTCTGTTTTCCCATCGGAGTTCACAGCTCAAGACATTCAGTTTCTTTTTGAAGATCCTTTACTCTGTGAAAATGTGAAGACCAGGATGGTCAAGTATGCTCTTCTTCAGAGGGACGCCGATGGAAAGATGAGGATGCATCCTTTGGTCCAAGCCTACTTCCGGACGGAGAATGAATCACTAGGCAAGGGTGACCTGTGGCGCGCCACTCAGCGTAAATTTAACCATCATTACCTTGATCAGCTGAGAGTCTTGGGCAAAGATTTTATTAGCAAAGATTCAGCTTTGGTTGCGATCCGTAAGTTTCGACTGCGGAAAGCGAACGTCATGGAAGCGCTGAAGAATTGTCTCGAAGACTCTAGCGATTTAGATGACAAAAATTTCGTTTTAGACGTCGTCAACAGTACAGAAGTGCTGGATTTTGTGGCAAAAGTCCTAACACCCCCTAAAGAGTGCACACTGCTGTACCAGAAATGCTGTGATATTGCTGAAGCGTCTGGCGATAAGAAGAGGCATGCAGAGAGCTTGAATTCACTGGGATTCCGTCGTCTCTGTGACGTGTCTCACAGCAAAGACAGCCCAGAAGAAAACCAAGTCACGCTTGCAAAGTTTCAGGAAGCATATGAAATGCGCAGGACACTACCAGAAGAAGAAAAAGAGTCCCAAACGCATGCGCACACAGCCAGTAAGCTTGGAGTATGTTTTGTATTGCAGGTGAGATCATAGTAATTATAAAAGAGGACTGTGTGCCAGTTTTTTTAAAATTTGATTTTCCTTCTTATCTCTTCCTTTTTAAGGAGAATTTGTCAATGGCTTCCTTTTGAAGTACCATCCCTGCATTTTCTTTTTGTGGGGCTCATGAGAATCTTACGCCAAGGCGTAGTGTGCAAGTTCTTCTTGTTTACCGAAGATTGTAGGAAATTTAATGAAACCTTATCAATAAAAGCGGAAATGCGCGAGTTTGCGTCAATTTTGATAGGGTGTCACTCGCACTAAGGTAGACTGGACCGGGATATTTACAAGGGCTATTTGTTTTGCAGGGAGAAGAAAAAAAAGGACGAGAGCTCATACGGGAAGGGATTTCAATAAGAAATTCTTTAAGTAACTGTTTGTATGTTGCTGCTGGATACTGTGACCTTGGAAGTAAGTAAATGTTTTTGTTTGCACTCCGTATAACACCCGCATATCCTTGTAAGAGACTGAATGGAGGCTAAAAGGATGACAAAGCGCATTGTAAAATTCTTAATTGGGTGCTTTCTTTTACTAAACCGAGAGAAAAACAGATAAATTCATAATTAAATGAAAGTTGAATAGAGGAAATACTTAACTTATGTATTGGAATCTCGTCGAGTCTTATTTTCATCGAGAAAGAGGGACTAGTCTTGTCTATAGGCTTCGACGTGAAAGTAAAACAATCATTTCTGAATGCTTGATCCCTAACAGGCGAACTTCCGCATGTATATTCTCCATACTGTTCTAAAACATTTTCTGTTTCCTATTTCTATAGCTATGAAAAAGTTATATCTTGTCTTCACACTTTGTTAGTTTCTTATCGACTGAGTGGTGATCATCAAAAAGCAATCGCTATATGGAAAGAGAACACCATTTCTGTTTACGAAGAGCAACTTGGTGACCACCCCTGGACAGCTTCAATTTTGTCCTACATCGCTGACTCGTACAAGTCCCTTGCGGCTAAAGGCTATGAGCGAGATTACATCGACCAGGCAGAGAGGTACTTCAGGAAGGCTCAAGAGCTACGAAAGAGGCTGTTGGGTCATCATCAGGATACAGCTCGTTCGGGCGTTCAGCTTAGCGATATCTTAGTCCTTCAAGGACGATTCGATGAGGCTTTGGAGGAGCTCGAAGAGGCCTTAGTAATTCAAAAGGATATTCTGGGCCCCGACCACAAGATCACAAAGAATACTGTGAGCAAAAGGAGTGATGTGATGGGCAAACGAGGATCAAATCCTCGTTAATTGCATATCTTCAAAACCGAAACTCGAGGTAAACTTCTTGGGTCTTGATGAACAGACTGAAGCATGTATACAAAACTTAGGCCAACCAGTATCTCATCAGTGTTGCAAGGAGATCTTCTAAATTCATTGGCACAATGTAAAAATCAAGTTTTTCCTTCTTTTATCATCGTTACGTACGATTTTTATAGTTTGGTTCATCCTTATCGTCTGTATTGTGTTTCGGTTTTGTGTTTCGGTATTGACATGCCACAAAATTAAAGCGTATTGTTACACTTCAAAAGAAAATTACTTCAGTCGTTGCTAAAAAGCCTTTCAATGCCCATACTAAACCCATAAGGATTGAAAATTATTGCATTTTCCGACTATTCATTTGTTTCAAATTGAGAAGTTTATGGAGCACAATTCAGGGAGTAATCGTGCAAATAATTAAACATAGTTAAACCTGAGCCCGGTTGTACGAAGTCCGATTAGATTAACCCATGGTTAAATTTTACTCCGTGTTTCTTTATTCACTTTTTTCAGATAATTCCCTTTCTTCTTATTTGGGCATTCAATCATTAAATTGTATACAAGAGGAATAATACTGAATTTTCTTTTACAGCTTTTAGATCTGAAAGCAGATTTCACACTAACCCTGGGTTACCTTAACACAACCTGGCCCTGATTTGTAGGACTGATTGCCAGACGAGCTAAACTCGGCCATGAAATATTTAATGTCAGGACAGACGTCTAGCTAAAGTTAATTTCATCCATTTTTCTTGTCTTCAAACTGAACCTGAGCAACCTACTTCCGATAGATTTTTCCTTGATTTTCATTGGCTTCGATATGTGTGAGATTTGAATTTCATGGCTAGTTAACAACTATTCAGATGGAGGTGGCTAATGGTGGATTTTATCACCATCGTTAGACATCGACATTAAAGGTGAATAGTAGTTTTAGTATATATTAAAACAGTGAGATACTTAGGCCCAAAAAGATGATTTTAACTCTTTTAGTCCTGCAATGATTACAATACTTATTGGCGCAAATCCCGTGGCCATTGCTCGGAGGTGAATAGCAAAGGATATTCGGAGTATGAGTGGCCAATCAGAGCGCACCTCCAACGCTTACCACTGTTTTCGTATATACCACTAAAATTTAGTGGCCTAGTTTCCATTGACTGGTCCAGTGAAAAGGTACGGCTAATTAGACAGGTAAAATTGTACAGTTCGGTGACTACCTAGTTAGAAAAAGTGAGAAATAAACGCTGTTAGGGATTAATTAGATTCGAACACTTTGCTACTGACACAACTTTCTAAGAGGAAGCAGATTTAGCTTCTCCCATCCGGGGAAATACTTTTCTGTCAACAGTGCATGTTTGTAAGTAGATTACGAGTAGTCCCTCCTTTTCGGCGAAGTCCGTCTCGCGAACCAAAAAGATCAGCGAAAAAAAATATTGATGTTAGCGCGTTGCGCGGAACTCTGGAAGCTTAACTCTTTCACTCCCAAGATCCTATTGATAATTCTCCTTACTGTCTACCATACAATTCTTATGATGTTAGTGAAGAGAATTTGGTATTGGTTCAACTTATAATCCCATTATTTATATTTTTCTGTATTCCCTTCATCTAACTGCTTGATATAGTATTGATATTGTAAGGAGAAATTCTGTCTTGATCACTTGTGGGAGTGAAAGGGTTAAGACTGAATTTTTTTTTTTATTCACGCGACGGAGTGCACCGAAAAGGATGGACTGCTCGGGTCAAGTTTCTGAGAAGCTTATGCATAAACAAGAAATTGCGTTAAATTAAAAATTCTTTTCCGTGGTTATCTGTTGTTTCTTTTGATCACGGTTGTTGTCATTCGACAGTATGCACTCATCAAGTAACATAAGTGTTTCTAAATTGATCAAAAAGTTGATTCGTTTGTATTAAAAGACCCAGAGAATAGTTATATGTTATAGCTGTTGCACATATGATTTTACTTCGACTTTGTGTTTTAGCTGTTTACTTCAAAAATAAAAGAACAAGAAGGTTTTAATAAAAATATTTCTAGTTCAAATGTTATCATAGGGGAATATATCTTGTAAAGTGCGAATACAAATTTCTAACTACGTCGCTGTAAGGTTCGCCTTCAATCTATGTTTGGAACCTTGCCACCTTTGATGATTTCATTACACCCCAGGAGCGCCATGAACCATAATTTCTAAGTTTCTGATAGCGCTAGCTAGCAACGACGCGTTTGCCCGATAAGCGTTCAAAGTCTCATCTATAGAAGCGTAAATCATCTCGGTAAGTTTAATTTAATTTCAATATAATTTAGTACGAAATGAACGAATGATGTACTTATGCAGTAGCTAGGTTAAAATCAATGCCGGAAGAGACAACCATTTTTCGTTGTAGAAGTGCAATATTTATAAACAGCTTCTCGGCCAGCACGAAGGAAGCGCAAATTACTCCGTGCGCAATTTTTGTTACGTTGCAGTCATATTATTTCAATCATAACAAATAGTTGCAACTTGCGGGTCAACTGTCAGGCGTGCGACAGAAATTGTTCTTTCGGGCGTTGTTGCAAATGCTCGACTTTTTATTCTCTAACAATGACTAAGAACCGAGAAATATAATTTTAAAAGCTTAATCCATCTCCTGCAACAGTTCATAATTTTTGCTGTTGAGCTTAGGCTCGAAATTTTTACCAGCAAAATCCGCATTTATGCACCTATCTTGATCATTTCCATTTCCCGTCCGTAAAAGTCCTGTGACAAAAAAAGAAAAGGAAAAAGAAAAGAAGAGAGAAAGAAAGGAACTAGAGTGGTCTTAAAACGAAATAACCAGACTGTTAGATTACGTTATTGAATTCAACTAATGCACAAACACTGGCGATTGAAACGAAAGGCGGCATGCAGATGAGAATAACTATCCACACACGGTTATGCAACCAACTCTTGCGTAAATTGTGATGATGGCGGCTTACTACCTGACACCTATTTACACCTTGTCAGAAAAAGGGCATCTGATTAGTGAGAACATAAAAGGACCTCTTGTTGAAGGCATTAGACAGGAGTATTGAAACATTGGGTCTATGAATTGTAACTTCTCAGTTACATTCATTAAATCTTTAAACCAGATTAGCATCAAAACATGTCTTAGTCCTAATTATGTGTAAAATTCAGCTGACATACATGTAATATTTTAAAACAATTTTTGGGAACATTTTCAGTTTCAATTGGTAGTTCTAATGCTGCGTAAAGAGAAATTCTTCATGCAAGGCTTAGATGTACACATGCTTCTCCAACAGTGTAATTAGGTGAACAAAAGTAAAATATGAAGCTTGTTTGTGCAATTGAATAAGATTAAAAGAATTTATTAGCTGCAGCTGTACTGGTAATTCTTAAAGCTTGTTATATCTCCTCTTCTTTTCTAGTGAGATGTACATGTGCATGTAGGTACATAGTGGGTTTTCTATATTTACACTGTATGAGGGTCTCCTCTGTTTTAAAAGACACACATAAATTTGGTATTACAGTATCTTAGACACTGAATCAAATCCAGTGAAAGAAATATCACATATGCGAAAAAATAATTGACACCCTTAACATTGTTACCTTTAATTAAGTATCTGTTGAGTCTTATGAAATTTAGGACATATGACATGAATAATAGTATGCTGTAAATCAGTCTAACACCCCTTACCCCCCCTCCCCCCTTTACATAAAGAAAAAATGGTAGTTGCAGAACTTACTGTGAACAAAATGTCATAATCAGATGGGGAGAAGTATAATATTTATCGAGAATTGGTTGTTTAGAAATGCAATTTTAAATTAACAAATTTTTCTGTGATATGCATTTTGTTGATGCCTGTGTTTTAATTCGTTTCTATCATACATGATGTCAATTTGTATAGGTAATAACATGGTTTCGAGTGCAATTTAGTGTTCATAAGCACCAGTAAATTTTTCAAAGACAACCAATTTACATGAGCCATGTATTTGTGAGTAATAAACATGAAAAAAAAATTACGCTTGTCTCATGGGCTGAAAATTAGTGCAATTTTCATGTCACATGAATGAAAAGTTGTAACACGAGTGCAAAGCTGTAACACTGAAAAACCATATTTAAAAAAATCACATTGAGGACAGTTATCTTCACATTTGTAATTTTTTCATGTATATTATTACACGAGAAAAAAAATGATGGTTACTTAAATTTATGTCAGTGGGAACCACTTTTGAAATCGTGTTCCTTGATGGACTTGAAGTCAGCTTTCCCTAAGCTATCAGGCACCATTGACTACTGTAGCTTAGAATTATGTTATCAATGGTGTCTTAGGGTCATAGCTATACAGTTATAGTTACTTTTATTGATAGCTACCACTTTCTTGTATTTATTCCAAAGAGTTCAGGCTCCTTTCTAGCATGGCAGCCAGTCACCAAGCCTTGGTCAGACTCATCTTAATAGTTGTGAAGAACCTTCAACACTAGATAGAGCTCAGTCGACCCCTCTAAGAAATCTTTCCAGCTTACAGTACTTCCCATCCTTTGGCAAAAGGGCCAAGATTTGTTGGATGCTTTTACCCAAAAGGTAAATGTACCTGTTTCTTATGCTTCCTTAGAAAGAGGAATCACTGTCACATATCTAGATTGAAAACTGTGTCCCTGAAACATGTCCTAGCGAGACCTTTAAAACAAGAAATGTTCTGGATTTAAAACAGTCTTTTTAAATTTATTCCCTATTTTAAGATACATGAAATTCCCGCCTTTGCATCCACACTTCGGCACTCGAAAGTACCTATTTCAGGCGAAACATCCTTATGAATCCTTCTGTAATGGTATTCCCTTGTAATAATTGATTCTACCACACTTCGTGTGAGACAAATCATAGATATACGTTCTAGGTTAGCGAACTGTTAAGAATTTTAATAACAATGAAATTTATAATATTTTGGTTCCACATCGTTGATCCGCAGCTCTGCGTTCAAAACCCATGTTAATATACTTCAGGCTTGACTTATCAAATGACAGCTTTCACATAAAGTTTGACCACTTGAGCATTGTCTGAAAGATTCTTCGACTCATTTGTGAATAATTTGCACGAATATCTTGCAAATTTCTCTGATTATCCTCCTGATTATGTAACCGACTGACCCACCAACTCTTGATTCGACGTAATAATCGACTGACAACTGGACGGAAAGGCTGCTTAATCCATCAAATAATGATGTGGTTTTCTAGGTTTGACTTCGCTAATAAGGCGAAGCGAGTAAGCTAAGTACATATGCAGGGTATATTAGTATCATTAACTTAGTTGATAACGTTAATTGGCCACCGGAAAGAGTTTCAAAGCCGACGTTTCGAACGATAGCCCTTCGTCAGAGCGAATTTCTCTCTCAGTCGATAATACTGACTGAATGAGTTGCCAGTAATCGGATCCTTGCGAGTTGCAATGTTTTCCCCGTGGCGATCCCAGAAATCTGTGCGTAAACACAAGGATCCATTACTGGCAACTCATTCATTACCCGGTTATTTTCCCCTACCAACGCAGCAACACAGTTTCTACAAGAACTTACTGTCGGGAAAGAAATAGGTAATGCTTAAATTGATTATTTTGTGATTAAATATTTATTAGAAATTGACATTTGTAGCGCAAAGAAGTTAGAATTCACAATAATGTAGACAAAGTCCGAGTATAGCTACGATGTAAAATGATGTAACTGCATGCATTTTCTTAAGCTAAATAAGGTGAAAGAACGTGCGATTTTGTAATAGTCATTTAAATTAGATACATTACAATGGGAACTTTTACTGCACATGTGATTAATATTAAAATACTACCTTACGCAATGATAGTGGGAAAAAACTTCTGTATACTCAGAATGTGTTATTTAATCGTTGATCGTTGTGTTACGACCGTTGAATATGTGAGGATTGTATATCACAATAGATTATCGGTTTGGATTAAATCGTGTTTTTACATCGAAAGATACAGTCCTCTTGATTTGTTTGAACAGTTCCCCAACACTGACCCCCCTCCATTCATAATTATATATGCAATCAAGTTTGCTTTCAGATGTAGCCAGGTGTCAATTTTCCGGGTCGTTCTGCTTGTCTCGAATCACCCTCAACATTTTGTGGCGTCACACGAATCGTTTTCAGTCATAACTTAGCCACGTTTGCGTGTCTGGAGACGGGACGTTTTGTCAGAAATGGCGCAGTCTACTCCACCACCGAATATTTCACTACCCGCTCGAAATACAGCAGAGTTCAATGCTTTCTTGGCTAAGATTGCTGATCAAATAACGGAGGAAGAGTTGGAGGAAATGAAATTTCTCTGTGACAGATCACAAACCAATAATAGTTTACCACGAGGAAAGCTTCATGCTATCATAAACCCACGCGAGTTTTTGAGCTTCTTACGCCATCACGATAAAATCTGCCTAGAAGACGTGTCCTATTTGCTATGGCTACTTAGAAACGTCGGACGTAGTGAGCTAGCCGCTTCAGTCGAGGAACAAGGTAAGATTCTGGTTAAGACCCGTGTGTAGATAGATTTTCTAAGACTGAATGATGCTTTCGTTGTTTTTTCTTTATGAATAATGCGTCTTGACAGACCTCAGATTAATTCTTGTCAAGTCTTCGATAAAGTCAAAGTTGATGTGGTTGTGAGCGCGCTAAACAAAATTAATGCTTAAGATAAATGCGTAAATATTAGCGGTATATTTCACGGTCGAAGAGTTTGCATTTGCAAATTGCAGCAGTATCGAATGATGTTTGATTGTCAGTAAAATTGATAGATTTGAAACGGCCTGCATGCTTCGGCTTCCTTTGCACGCTGAATTTGGCGCCGAGAGCGGTAATTAGATAACAGCTTAATATGTGAGTAACACAGTTACTATCTGCGTCGGTATATATACATACTGTAAGATTTTAAGCCGTTAACTAACGGCGCAGAATCTCTCAGGACGCCGTTAACTAACGGCGTAATCTGACTCAGTCGGTATGTATACATACTGTAATTTTTAATACCGACGCAGATAGTGGCGTAATATCCTACAGTCTATTGAGTGTGTTAGTCGCATATTATCTATATTCCCCTAAAAAGAGGCTGGACCTCAACGTTTTCGAGTTACTTGGCGAGGAGAGATAAAGGTTGAAATGGAGTGCCTTCTGTCGTCGTGCTGATAAGGAGTTCGCGTCTATCAAGAATTTGCATACATGTTCTGCACACTTTGAGACTAAACAAATCGCGAAGACACTTTCAGGGGAGGGTTCCAATAATATATGACCAGTACACAGGCATTAGAAGTCCAAGTCAACGCAAGAAAGGTCTAATGAGTGGAGAAAAGGAAATTTGAGCGCCGACAGCGAAGACGTTTTTCCCGACGAAATTTCTTTGTTTCTTGCCAGACGGACATTGACCGCCATCAAATGGACGATATGATTAAAAATGAATCGATGTTATGAGCTGATAACAAAACAATTTGAAACGAACTCAGTAACATGCCAGCGTTGAAACGGAAACTTTTCATTTATAATACACTGAAAAGTTATGAATCCGCAAAATTCTTCTCGGGATTTCCAACTTTGGTCTGTCTAATGGCGATATTCAATATTTTCAAACCTTTCGTCGTGAAACAGAAATACTGGGATCGTAATCGGTAGAAAATCTGCTTGTACCACTTGTGCCTCTTGCTAATAAAACATTAACAGTTTGTGCTGCTTTTTGTAATCTTCTGCCTCCACTTACAAAGTAGAACTCTCCAGTATTCTCCTAATTTATCACAAAGAAAAAAAAAATAAAACTAAAACTAACTTCATTATGCAAAGAAATCTTTCAGCTTTATCTTTCCTACTTTAACTACTTCATAGGTTGGTTTAGTTCAGAAAACAAAGGATTTTTTCGGGAATTGATCCACCGAAGATAACATTGGTTAACAGACAAAAACTTGTGATATCACGGTCGCTTACTCTTCTGTCATATTACAATGCATCTATGAGCACTGTCATATCTTTCTTGATATAAAAACTCAATATGCAAATCAAGTGTATCTACTAACCTGTAATCAGGCCATAAGGACTATTTAGCATCTTGTAAGTGCATATTAAATTAGTTTTAACACGGAAGGTGCTTGAATTCTTAAAGGCTTAGTCAGGCGTGAGTAACCTCTTTATGAATCTTTCCAATCTTTCCACTTGGGAGTTCAGGCACTATATGATCCAAAAAAGCTTTGATAGCTTCCCCACCATTTGCTCCCACAGGTCTTTCTCAACTTTTAGTTACTATTAATTTCCCTTAAGAGTGTAAATAATAGGATTACACTGTTCCAATCCAGCCAAAGCTAGATTTAACAGTGTAAAGCTTGCGTTTGATTGTATTTGCCAGCCACTTCATCAAGGCAGTGAGCTGCCCCAACACTGGGTTGAAGATTTCTTTTGCTAAAAATGCTCTTGACCTCGAAAAGTGTCTTGACACAACACTTAGAAACTTGAATTCTGCCTGGAGAAGCTCCCAGATATGGTTAATGATTGGCGATAAAAAGACCACATTGAAAACTTCCATACCCTTGTGTTTTGTTTAATGTTCCTTGTTATTCTCTTTGATAGCCACATCTTTCTTCTCAGATACGTGGATCAGAGTAATTTTTTCATGTATATTATTATGCCGAAAATTATACTAGCACAATCTTTAGAGGCCTATGTGTGTTCTTATATTTAGGGTTCCATCGGTTTATCCTTGGCTTGTTTTTGGGACATCTGTTGTGGTCGGCTACCGTTCGTGTATCTGTTCAAACTTTTTCTTTCTTTCTTTCTCTTTTTTCTTTTTTTTCGTATTTTAGGTATACCGTCGTCGCTGGGTGGTCAACCTCGAGATCTTCCGTGTTTAACTGCACACTTTGTTGGAAGAGACGCGGACGTAGATAAAATCGTAAATCAACTGCAGACCTTTCGTATGGTTGTTCTTCTTTCCATCCCAGGAATGGGGAAGACTGAAGTGGGAATCCGTGTAAGTCACTTGTTAAAGCAAAGGGGTGACCAGTTTGTAACGCATATTCGCGTAGAAAGTCATCATCAGAAGCTCGCAGACATCTGCAGTGAGATTCTTGATCGATTGAGTAGTCGCACCTATTCGGAAACCGCTGACTTTATATCCCTTGCGAAGCGTAAACTATCGGAGCGAAATATCCCAACTCTTATTGTGCTAGACAATACAGAGAATATACAGGGCGAGGAATTTGATGAATTCACCAAATGGCTCGTGGAATCTGCCCTGAATGTACAGTTGATAATCACTACTCGAAAAGATGTTGGATTCGTGTCGGTGGACGTGTGTAGGTTTCCTCTGAATCCTTTGGATCCCGACTCGTCTGCAAAACTGCTTCGGAGCCTTGTTGACGACTGTAGTGAGGAACACTCCAAGGAACTTGCGAAATTGTGTGGTGGGATACCACTCCTTCTTGTGACCTGTTCTGACTCGCTGAACAATGGTTTAAGTCCCGATCTGTTAATCCAACAGCTCAGTAATGATCCCATACAACATTTCAGGATCAGTGCGAACGATGTTTATAACACGCTGGAAGTATTTTTTAACACTTTTTCCGATGAGGTAAAAAATAATCTTGTCCTTTTTTCTGTTTTCCCATCGGAGTTCTCAGGTCAAGACATCCAGTGTCTTTTCGAAGATTCCTTACACTGTGAAACAGTGACGAACAGGATGGTCAAGTATGGTCTTCTTCAAAGGAACGTCGTTGGAAAGATGAGGATGCATCCTTTAGTCCAAGCCTACTTCCGGACAGAGAAAGAGTCTTTAGGCATGGGTGACCTGTGGCGCACCGCTCAGTGTAAATTTAACCATCAATACCTTGGTCAGCTGAGAGTCTTGAGCAAAGAGTTTATCAGCAAAAATTCAGCTTTGGTTGCGATCCATAAGTTTCGACAGCAGAAAGCGAACATCATGGAAGCGCTGAAGAATTGTCTCGAAGACTCTAGCGATTTAGATGACAAGAATTTCGTTTTAGACGTCGTGAACAGTACAGAAGTGCTGGATTTTGTGGCAAAAGTCCTAACACCCCCTAAAGAGTGCACAGTGCTGTACCAGAAATGCTGTGATATTGCTAAAGCGTCCGGCGATATGAAGAGGCATGCTGAGAGCTTGAATTCACTGGGATTCCGTCGTCTCTGTGACGTGTCTCACAGCAAAGACAGCCCAGAAGAAAACCTAGCCACACTTGCAAAGTTTCAGGAAGCATACGAAATGCGCAGGACATTACCAGCAGAAGAACGAAAAACCCAAACGCATGCGCACACCGCTAGTAAGCTCGGAGTATGTTTGGTATTGCAGGTGAGATCATAGTAAATATAAAAGAGGACTATGTGCCGTTTTTTTGTTTTGATTTTCCTCCTTATCTCTTCCTTTTTAAGGAGAATTTTTCTTAATAGCTTTCCTTTTAAGTACCATCCCTTCATTTTTGTTTGTGGGGCTTATGAGAATCTTACGCCAAGGTGAAGTGTGGAAGCTCTCCTTGTTTACTGAAGTTTGTAGGAAATCTAATGAAACTTTGTCAATAATGGACAGAAATGGGCGAGTTTGCTGCAGTCCTAATGGGGTATCACTAGCAGTTAGGCAGGCTGGGCCCGGATATTTACAAGGGCTATTTGTTTTGCAGGGAGAAGAAAAAAAAGGACGAGAGCTCATACGGGAAGGGATTTCAATAAGAAATTCTTTAAGTAACTGTTTGTATGTTGCTGCTGGATACTGTGACCTTGGAAGTAAGTAAATGTTTTTGTTTGCACTCCGTATAACACCCGCGTATCCTTGTAAGAGACTGAATGGAGGCTAAAAGGATGACAAAGCGTACTGTGAAATTCCGAATTGGGTGGTTTTTTTTTATAAACCGAGAGAAAAACAAATAAATTTCCAATTAAATGAGAACTGAAAAGAGGAAATACCAAACTTATGTATTGAAATCTCGTCGAGTCTTATTTTCATGGAGAATGAGGGAATGGTCTTGTCTATCGGCTTCGGCGTGAGAGTGAAACAAGCAACTCTGAATGCTTGATCCCTAACAGGCGAACTTTCGCATGCATATTCTCCATACTGTTCTAAAACATTCCCAGTGGTATTGACAAGGAGAATTTATTCAACAATCAAGATCTGGGTTCTTTTATTGGCTATCATTTTATTTTATTATTCATGCGCTTAATGTTTGATTTAAAAGGTGCTATTGCAAGGAAAAATTCGAAGTTAGGAACCTTGGGGTAAAAAAAGGTTGATGTTCCTTGGTTAGTCTGACAAAGTGTTTATTTGTGATATGGGGAGGGATTTGTTAATTTGAGAAGGAAACTAATGTTTCTGAGCCATTTGAGAAATAGCCCTTTAAACGTTTACGGCTTACAAGCTTTATGCTCTTTAACAAAATCACCCTCGACACGTACCGGCTTTGAATCAGAAGTCCGTCTCTTTATCCATTCCAGTTGTCTCTTTTTAAAACGCGGTAAGGATTCATTTAACAGTGTAAAAGCGTAATATTGTCTTCACACTTTGTTAGATTCTTATCGATTGTGTGGTGATCATCAAGAAGCAATCGACATTTGGAAAGAGAACACTCTGCCAATTTACAAAGAGCAGCTTGGTGACCATCCCTGGACAGCTTCAATTTTGTCCTACATCGCTGACTCGTACAAGGCCCTTGCTGCTGGAAGCTCTGAGCGAGGTTACATCGACCAGGCCGAGATGTACTCCAGGGAAGCTCATGGGCTACGAGAGAGGCTGTTGGGTCATCATCAGGATACAGCTCGTTCGTGCGTTCAGGTTAGCGATGTGTTAGTCCTTCAAGGACAATTCGATGAGGCTTTGGAGGAGCTCAATAAGGCGTTTGAAATTCAAAAGGATGTTTTGGGCCCTGACCACAAGATCACGAAGAACACAATGAGCAAAATGAGTGACGTGATGGACAAACGAGCATCAAATCCTCGTTAACTGCAAATTCTCAAAACCGAAGCTCGAGGTAAAACTCTTGGTTCTTAGTGAACAGACTGAAGCATGTAAATAAAAATGTAATGTATTATTAATATCAATATTATTAACTGAGTTGATAACGTAAATTAGCCACCGTAAAGAGTTTAAAAGCTGACGTTTCGAGCGGTAGCCCATAGTCAAATCGAATGAGGAAGGACTAACGCTCGAAACATCAGCCTTTTACGGTGGCTAATTTACGTTATCAACCCAGTTGATAAGACTAAATTACTATGTTAAACTCTTCCACCGACGAAGCGCCACAGTTTCTTTAGAAACTTACCCCCGTGTAAATAAAACTTAGGCCAACTGGTATCTCATCAGTGTTGCAAGGAATTTATTTAAATTCATTGGAATAATGTAAAAATCAAGTTTTTGCCTTCTTTCATCATCGTTACGAACGATTTTTTTAGTTTGGTTTTTCCCTGTCGTGTTTATTGTGTTTCGGAATTGGCATCGACTTATCCCACAAAATTAGAGCGTATTATAATACTTCAGAAGAAAATTACTACAGTCATCACCAAAGAGCCTTTCAATGCTCATACTAACCCCATAAGGAGGTAAGTAGTGGGTTTTCCCACCATCGCTAGACATTGACACTGAGGTGAGGTGTATATACTAAAACAGTGAGATAATAAAGCACAAAAAGATGAGTTTAACTCATTTATTCCTGGAACTATTGCAATATTTTTGGTTGCGAATCCCACAGCCCATATTCGAAGTTTGAGTAGCCAATCAGCGCGCCTTAACAATGTTTTTAGTATATACCGATAAAATTTAGTGGCTTAGTTTCCGTTGGCTGTTTAACTGTCCATTTCGACTGGTCTAGTTAAAAGGTGCTGCTAATCAGGCAGGTAAAATTGTGCAGTTCAGTGACTCCCTAGTTGGAAAAAGTGTTAAATAAACGCTGTTAAGGACCAAGTAGATTCGAGCACTTTGCTACTGACACAACTTTCCGAGAGGAAGAAGATTTAGCTTCTCCCATCCGGGGAATTACTTTTCTGTCTACGGTGAATGTTTGTAAGTAGACTGCGAGTAGTCCCTCCTATTCGGCGAAGTCCGTCACGCGGGTCAAAAAAGGGTTAGTGGAACTCTGGAAGTTAGACGCACGAAAACTACAGTCTGTATTATTTCCAAATTCACGCGACGAAGTGCGCCGAAAAGGATAGACTGCTCGTTTCAAGTTTCTAAGAAGCTTATCCATAGACAATAATTTGCGCTAAATCAAAAATTCTGTTTCGAGGTTACATGTTGTTTCTTTTGATCACGGTTGTTATCATTCGACAACATGCATTCATCAAGTAGCATAAGTGTTTCTTTATCAATAAAATAATTGATCCGCTTGTAGTAAAAGAGCCAGAGAATAGTTATATGTTATAGCCGTTGCACATATGAATTTACTTCGATTCTGTGTTATAACTGTTTACTTCCAAAACAAAAGAGCAAATAGGTTTCGACAAAACTATTTCTAGTTCAAGTCATAGGGAAATATATCTTGTAAAGTGCGAATACAAATTTTCAACTAAGTCGCCGTAAGGTTGGCCTTCACTTTGCCACCCTGGATGATGTCATTACCCCCAGCAGCGCCATGATCTATGGTTTCTAGGAATTGGAAATACGAACGTCAACGGTTGCCATGTTTCTGATTACTGGAACGTGATTGCGCTAGCATAGACGCGTTCGCCCGATAAGTGTTCAAAACCGTAAACCATCCCGGTAAGTTTAATTTACTTTCTATATAATTTACAACGAATTCAAGGAATGATATACTTATGCACGGCTGGATTAAAAAATCAAAGCCGGAAGAGACAACCATTTTGCGCTCTAGAAGTGCGATATTTGTAAGCCGCTGGGGCCGGCACGAAGGAAGCACAAACTGCTCCGTATGCGTTTTTGTGGCGCTTTTGAACACAACCTTTTGTTTACATGTCGTATATCAGCCAAGACGACCCTTTAGTTGTTCGAGAAAACAGTCCAGTGCAAGGCTGACTACCTGACTCACACACGGCTCAACACACATCATATTTACTTCACTACCGGATTATTTCGAAGATGGGGCAGTTCCATGTCTTTGAAGATTTCTTGCCCTAAATATAGCTGGAAAAGACAGAAATTGCACCACAACTGTTAATGCTTTGCAGTCGAATCTCGATTATCCGGACCTCGATTACCCGGATTTCTCGATTATCCAGACTTTTTCTCTGGTCCCAATTTTGTCATGAATGTTTATTAGACTTGATCAAGATCCGTAACCATATTCTTTTTCAAACTACAGCGTTGAAAAGTGAAGTAAAGGCGAGTTTGTGTCGCTTTCAAAAAGCAAAGGTAGCGCTCGCACGCGTCGTAACTAACGAAGAACATTCGAATTAGGTCTGATTGGCTTTGATGCTAAGTGAGATTTCACGCTCTATTGGCTCGTTCGGCGTGGTATGCAAGATAAACAAGCTACACAGCGTCACGAATGTCTATTCACGATCATCATGTCCTTGAAGCGTAAGCGATCCGTCCTTTCTACAATTTTGCGATTAGAAAAAGTACACAGCAGATATCTGATATATGAATGTCGAATACCACTACACTATACACGTGTAGAACCGAGAAAAATAACTTTAAAAGCTCAATCCATTTCCTGCAACAATGCACAATGTTTGCTGTTGACCTTAGGCAGGAGATTTTTACGAGCAAAATAGGCATTTATGCACCTATCCTGATCATTTCCATTTCCCGTCCGTAAAAGTCCTGTAACGAAAAAAGAAAAGGAAAAAGAAAAGAAGAGAGAAAGAAAGGCACTGGAGTGGTCTTAAAAAGAAATGACCAGACTATTAAATTATGTCATTGAATTCAACTAATGTGCAAATACGGGCGATTGAAATGAAACGTGGCATATGAAGAAGAATAAATATCCACATATGGTTATGCAACCAACCCTTGCGTAAATTGTGATGATGGCGGCTTACTATTTACACATGGTTACGTAACCCTTGCGTAACTTAACGCAAACTCGCCATAGAGCACAATAGAATTTCCATTTGCTACATAAAATATTGTTAATTTGATATTTGACAGGTTAAAGGCTCAGCTGTTGCAACCTGTCTTTATTATGGCCTCTCACCTACAGCAAATATCATTTACCAAAGAAGCAACTAATTATGCACGAATTTGTCGGCTCCTGATTGAAGTGGGCTCCCAGGTATTACGAGAGAAATTCAATGACATTCATGACCCTGCAAATCTCCACATCATACTTAACAGCCGTATGCCTAAACTGACGTCTCTAAGATCCAGAGGGATCCTTACCCAAGCACAGTGGGACTCCATGAACCCAGCCGTACACGAAACGGTTTCATCTGAGAATTTTGACATCTCCACCTTGTGCATGCTCTTGATGAACATCTGTAACCTACCACCTCCAGAAACAGGTTGGAGACGCCTTCCAGCTCCAACGGATCACTCTCTTAGTGCAGACATTTTAAGAGTGAGACATTTCAGAAATTCCCTGTATGCGCATGTCACGAAGGCCTCAATTGATGAAACCAGCTTTAACAGGTATTGGAGTAACATTCGAGAAGTGTTCGTGAGATTAGGAGGGGCGAAGTATGACAAAGTGATAAGTAAAATGAAAACTGAGAGCATGAATCCTGATGCTGAAGAAGGTTACAAAAGCCTTTTAAAAGAATGGCAAAAACAGGATGATGACATTAAAGATCGACTCGAATCGATTGACGAAAAAGTTGAAAAAGCCCATAAGTTACTGCTCGATTTAAGAGACCATGTAGAGTCTCTAGGAGATATCCCAGGTAGGTCAATAAAACTCTGCAACTAGGGCATAGGGTAAAATATGGACTGGGCTATTTTTTGGACCATTTTTTTTTCTTGACCATTTTATAGGGGGGAAAGCACACCATTAGTATTTAGGGAGGGGTGGATGCAGTCTATCAGTACTGAAGGAGGGGTGGGAGGCAAAGTGTTATTAGTCAGGGAGGGGTGTGAGACGGACTATTACTACGCAGGGGGGTGGGAGATGGTTGGTTAATGAAACTTTTACTCGATCGTACAAATTATTTTAATCGGTTTTTCGACTGACTTTTTGTATGTCAAAATTTTTGCCCTTGGCCGCTACGTCTCTTCGTGTTTTTGTCATGCGAAGACGAAACTGCCATGTAAACACTGGACTTTAAATTTTATTGAAAATAGTGCGTTTACGATCCTCCTCTGTTGGGTTGTGCGCGTACCTTTGAGTCGACTTGTGCACCACCAGTTGCTTCACGTTTCCTTTTGTGTATACAATATGTAATTGCTAAATTTATCTATCTTCCTTTTGCCATTGACCTTATCAGACGAGATCACGGAATTTCCGGTCCTTAGCCCTTAACTTAGCAGCATATAAAATTCACAAGCGCTACTGCAATTTTAACCTTTATACCTTTACTATATAAAATCATCAGCGAACGATTTCGAAGAGGAATCCATATTCTCAAATCGAGCAAAACACCGCTGTACGTGCAATATGGGAAAGCGCAAATATCGAGTTTATCTGTTTCACAAACAAAGGAGTTAATCACCGGCACCGGAAATCGCGGTGATTAACTCCTTTGTTGGTGATTAACTCCTTTGTCGGTGATTAACTCCTTCTTCGGTGATTAACTCCTTCGTCGGTGATTAACTCCTTCGTCGGTGATTAACTCCTTTATCGGTGATTAACTCCTCTTCGAAATCGTTCACTGATGATTTTATATAGTAGAGGTATAAAGGTTACAATTGTGAATTTAATATGCTGCTAAGTTGAGGGCTAAGTACTGGGAATTCCGTGATCTCGTCTGATAAGATCAGTGACAAAAGGAAGATAGATAAATTTACCAATTACCTACTGTATACACAAAAGGAAACGTGAAGCAACTGATGGTGCACAAGTCGACTCAAAAGGCACACCATAACTCAACAGTGGAGCTAGGATTGTAAACGCGATATTTTAAATTTTCGATATTTTCTTCCACCCCGCCCTCGGTACTGATAGACTGCATCCCACCCCTCCCTGAGTACTAATGGTGTGCTTCCCCCCTATAAAATGGTCCAAAAAAATTTGGTCCATAAAATGGTTCAAAAAATAGTCCAAAAAATAGTCCAGTCCATATTTTACCCTATGCCGTGCAACTAGTAGTAACTTAAGCTGTTGTTTCATTTTCACTGGTGACTCCTTTCTGATGGAGAGAGCTCAGCTCCAAATTAAATTTTTTAAAAAATATATTAATGCGATAATTGGATTTATGGGTCTTTTAAGTTGCTAAGGCCCCCTTAAGGACAGAAAGTGCTACTTGAGGCACCAGTAGAATATCTTTAGTAGCTACTTAGGCATTCTGTTTTCGCTTTGTCGGAAAGTTAAAATAAAATTGTGATTACAGTGAATCAAGGAAGAGATTTGTGTATCCTTACACAGTCAGGATACATAAACTGAGGCCGAAAATCAGTGAAAGAAACTAGTTTTCTGGGTCAGAAAGGGCAACGCTCTCTTATAACGGAGAAACTGTCTCCGAGCGATCCCTGTCGCATAGCTGCCAGTTCTAAACCTCTTAGTAAAATTTAAAAGACATGACATAAACAGTGGTATACTGTATATCAGTCTAGCACCCCTCCCCCCCCCTTTACCTAATGAGAGAAATAATAGTTCCAGAACTTTCTGTGGACAAAATGTCATAATCAGATGGGGAGAAGAATGATAATTGATAAAGAATTAGCTTTTCAGAAATGCAATTTTAAATCTTTTCAATTGACAAATTTTTGTGTTATATGCATTTTGTTTATGCCTGTGTTTTGATTTGTTTTCTACTGTACATATCGTCAATTTGTATTGGTAGTAACATGATTTTGAGTGCAATTTGGCGTTGATAAGCACTAGCAATTTTTTTAAAGACAACCAATTTGCAAGAGCAATTTTTTGTTAATAATGGACATGAAAAAATTACGTTTGTCATATTGGCTTGAAAATAAGTACAATTTTCACATAACAGGAATGTAAAGTTGCAACTCTGAAAAGCCATCCACATACATACTGTAAAATTTTACAGCGCTAATTAACAGCGCAATTTCTTCCAGTCGGTAATATATATATACGGTACTGTAAGATTTTACGCCGTGAACTAATGGCGTAACCTCCTCCAGTCGGTAATATATATACTGTAACATTAAACGTCTTTAATATACTTTTATTATATATTAATTTGTTTAATTATTGTACCAACGCAGATAGTGGCGTAAAATCGTACAGTCTAAAGACTTGTGTTAGTCACATATCACGCCGTTATCTGTATTCCCGCGTTAGAAGTCCAACTCAACGCCAAAAAAGGTCCAATGAATAGAGAAAACACTTCGAAACGAACTCGACAACACGCCAGAGTTGCAATGGAAACTTGTCAGGGATAATGCACTGAAAATTTACGAATCCCTGAAATTCTTCACGGAATTTCCAACTTGCGATGTTTAATATTTTGAAACCTTTTGTCGAGAAATTGATATACTGGGATCGCAATAAGTAAAAAATCTGCTTATGCCACTTGTGCCTTTTGCTGATAAAATTTGAATAGTTTTGTAACCGTCTTCCTCCACTTACACTTTCTGGTTAAGTTCAGGAAACAAAGGATTTTTTTTTGGAGTTGATCCACTGAAGATAATATTGGTTAACAGACAAAAACTTGTGATGCCACAGTAACTTACACTTCTGTCATATCACAATGCATCTATAAGTACTGTCATATCTTTCTTGATATAAAAACTCAATAAGCAAATGAAGAGTATCTTCTAACCTGTAATCAGGCCATAAAGACTATTTTGCATCCTTTAAATGTATATTAAATTAATTTTAACATAGATGGTGCTTGAATTCCATTGTGGTTCTTAAAGGCTTAGTCAGGCGTGAGTAACCTCTTCATGAATCTTTCCACTAAGGAGTTCAGGCACCATGCGTTCCAAAAGAACTTTGATAGCTTCCCCACCATTTGCTCCCACAGTTCTTGGTCAAATTTTACAGGTACTACTAATTTCCCTTAAGAGTCTACATATAACAAGATTACACTGTTCCAATCACGCTAAACCTAGCTGTCCTTGTATTTAATAGTTCCAAAACGTTATTTTTTTACTTAGTATTTGCCACCCACTTGATCAAGGCAGTGAGCTACCCCAGTGACATGGGGTTGAAGATTTCTTTTGCTAAAAATGCTCTTGACCTCCAAAAGTGTCTTGACACAACACTTACAAACTTGAATTCTTCCTGGAGAAGCTCCCAGATATGGATACTGCTTGTCTATAAAAAGACATTTTAATAGACAAGCCTCTATATATACCCTCATGATTTGTGTAATGTTCCTTGATATTCTCTTTGATAGCTATCTCTTTCTTCTCAAAGGCACGTATCAGACGCGCGTAATTTTGTCATGTATATTATTATGGCAAAAATTAGGCTAGCACAATCTTTAAGGGCTTATTTGGGGTTTTACATATAAGTTTCAATTGGTATTATCTCGGCTTGTTTTTGGGACATCTGCTGTGGTCGGCTATCGCTCTTGTATCTGTTCAAACCTTTTCTTTATTTATTTATTTTTTCGTTTATTAGGTCCACCGTCGTCGCCGAGCGGTCAACCTCGAAATCTTCCGTATTTAACTGCACACTTTGTTGGAAGAGACGCGGACGTAGATGAAATCGAAAAGAAACTGCAGTCCTTTCGTATGGTTGTTCTTCTTTCTATCCCAGGTATGGGAAAGACTGAAGTGGGAATCCGTGTAAGTCACTTGTTAAAGCAAAGGGGAGACCAGTCTGTAACACATATTCGAGTCGAAAGTCATCATCGGAAGCTAGTAGACATCTGCAGTGAGATTGTTGATCGATTGAGTAGTCGCACCTGGTCGGAAACCGCTGACTTTATATCCCTTGCGAAGCGTAAACTATCGAAGCTAGATATCCCGAATGTCCTTGTACTAGACAACACAGAGAATATACAGGGTGAGGAATTTGATGAATTCACTGAATGGCTCGTTAAATCTGCCCCGAATGTAAAGTTGATAATCACTACTCGAAAAGATGTTGGATTCGTGTCGGCAGACGTGTGTAGGTTTCCTCTCAAACCTTTAGATACCGAATCGTCTGCTAAACTGCTCCGGAGTCTTGTTGACGACTGTAGTGAGGAACACTCCAAGGAACTTGCTAAATTATGTGGTGGGATACCACTCCTTCTTGTGACCTGTTCTGACTCGCTGAACAAAGGTTTTAGTCCCGAGCTGTTAATCCAACAGCTCGGGAATAATCCCATACAACTTTTCAGGATCAGTGCGAGCGATGTTTACGATACGCTGAAAGTATTTTTTGACAACTTTTCCAATGAGGTAAAACGAAATCTTGTCCTTTTTTCTGTTTTCCCATCGGAGTTCTCAGCGCAAGACATACAGTTTCTTTTTGAAGATCCTTTACACTGTGAAACAGTGAAGACCAGGATGGTCAAGTATGCTCTTCTTCAAAGGAATGCCGATGGAAAGATGAGGATGCATCCGCTGGTCCAAGCCTACTTCCGGTCAGAGAAAGAATCATTAGGCATGGGTGACCTGTGGCGCGCCACTAAGTGTAAATTTAACCATCATTATCTTGGTCTGCTAAGAGTCTTGAGTAAAGAGTTTATCAGCAAAGATTCAGCTTTAATTGCGATCCATAAGTTTCGACAGCAGAAGGCAAACATCATGGAAGTACTGAAGAATTGTCTCGAAAACTCTAGCGATTTATATGACAAACATCTCGTTTTAGACGTCGTTAACAGTACAGAAGTGCTGGATTTTGTGGCTAAAGTTTTAACACCTCCTAAAGAGAGCAGAGCACTGTACCAGAAATGCTGTGATATTGCTAAAGCGTCCGGCGATATGAAGAGATATGCAGAGAGCTTGAATTCACTCGGATTCCGCCGTCTCTGTGACGGGTGTTACAGCAAAGACAGCCCTGAAGAAAACCAAGTCACACCTGCAAAGTTTCAGGAAGCATATGACATGCGCAGGACATTACCAGAGGAAGAACAAAAGTCCCTAACGCATGCGCACATCGCTAGTAAGCTCGGAGTATGTTTTATATTGCAGGTGAGATCATAGCAAATATAAAAAAATACCTCCTCCTTTTTAAACAGAATTTTTCTCAATGGTTTACTTTTTAAGTACCATCCTTGCATTTTTCTTTTGTGGGGCTCATAAGAATCTAACGCAGGCGAAGTGTACGAAAATCTAATGAAACTTTATCAATAATGGCGGAAATCGGAGAGTTTGCGTCACTCTTAATGGGGTATCACTCTCACTAAGGTAGACTTAACCCGGATATTTACAAGAGTTATTTTTTTCACAGGGAGAAGAAAAAAAGGGACGAGAGCTCATACAGGAAGGAATTTCAATAAGAGATTCTTTAGGCAACCGTTTGTATGTTGCTGCTGGATACTGTGACCTTGGGGGTAGGTTAATGTTTTGTTTGCAGTCCGTATAACACCCGCGTATCCTTGTTGGAGACTGAATGGAGGCTAAAAGGATGACAAAGCGCGCTGGGCGGTTTCTTTTACTGAACCGAGAGGACAACAAGTAAATCTCAAATCAAATGAGAACTGAAAAGGGAACATACTAAACTTATGTATTGGAATCTCGCCGAGTCTTATTTTCATGGAGAAAGAGGGAATAGTCTTGTTTGTCGGCTTCGACATGAAAGCGAAACGAGCAACTCTGAATGCTTGATCCCTTACAGCCTAACTTCCCCATGCATATTGTCCATACTGTTCTAAAACATTTCCAGTGGTATTGACAAGGAGAATTTAGTCAACAACCAAGATCTCGCTTCTTTAATTTGCGTACATTTGATTTATTTTTCATGCGCTTAATGTTTGATTCAAAAGGTGCTATTAGAAGGAAAAATTCGTCAGGAACCTTATGGTTAAAAAGGTTGATGTTCCTTGGTTAGTCTGAAAATGAGATAATTTGTGATATGGGGAGGGATTTGTTAATTTGAGAAGGAAACCAATGTTTCTAACCCATTTGAGAAATATCCCTTCAAAGTTTATGGCTTACAAGCTTTAAATTATTTGACAAAATCACCCTCGACGCGTACCAGCTCTGAATCATAAGTCATCTCTCTCGTCATACCAGTTGTTTCTTTTTGAAATGCGGTGGGGATTAATTGACGGATTCATTAAACTTTGTGAAAGTTATATATTGTCTTCACATTTTGCCAGACTCTTATCGATTGTTTGGTGATCATCAAAAAGCAATCGACATTTGGAATGAGAACACTCTGCCAGTTTACAAAGAGCAGCTTGGTGACCACCCCTGGACAGCTTCAATTTTGTTTTACATCGCTGACTCGTACAAGGCCCTTGCAGCTGGAAGCTCTGAACGAGGTTACATCAACCAGGCCGAGATGTACTCCAGGGAAGCTCATGGGCTACGAAAGAGGCTGTTGGGTCATCATCAGGATACAGCTCGTTCGTGCGTTCAGCTAAGCGATGTCTTAGTCCTTCAAGGGCAGTTCGATGAGGCTTGGGAGGAGCTCGATAAAGCCTTTGTAATTCAAAACGATATTTTAGGCCCTGACCACAAGATCACGAAGAACACAGTGAGTAAAAAGAGTGATGTGATGGACAAACGAGGATCAAATCCTCGTTAATTGCATATTCTCAAAACTGAAACTCGAGGTAAAACTCTTGGGTTTTGGGGAACAGACTGAAGCATGTGAATAAAAGGGTAATGTAGTATTATCAACTCAGTTGATAGTACTAACTGCTGAAATTGGCCACCGTAAAGAGTTTTAAAGCTGACGTTTCGAGCGTTAGCCCTTCGTCAGAGCGAATTACGCAAGGCTAACGCTCGAAACTTCAGCTTTAAAATTTTCTACGGTGACCAATTAACGTTATCAACTCAGATGATTATACTGAATTATCATGTTGTACTCTTCCACCGTCGCCGCGCCACAGTTTCTTTAGAAACGTACCCATGTAAATAAAACTCAGGCCAACTGGTATCTCATCAATGTGGCAAGAAAATTTTTTAAATTCATTGGAATAATGTGAAAAATCAAGTGTTTGCCTTCTTTTATCATCGTTACGAACGATTTTTATAGTTGGGTTTATCCTTGTCGTGTTTATTGTGTTTCGGTATTGGCATCGACTTATCCCACAAAATGAAAGCGTATTGTGATAATTCAGAAGAAAATTCCTACACTCATTGCCAAGAAGCTTTCAAATACTTATACTAACCCCGTAAGGATTTCTATGTATTTGTTTCAAATTGCGAAGTTTATGGAGCTCAATTTAGTGAGCAATCGTGCAAACAATCAAGCTTAGTCAAACCTGATTTGTACTAATTCCCAGTTGCAAGAAACTCGGCCATGAAATATTTAATGTCAGAGCAGGCATCAAACTCAAGTCAATTTCATCCATTTTTCTTGTCTTCAAACTGAACCTGTGCAACCTACTCCTTATAGGTTTTCCATAATTTTTCATTGGTTAGAATATGTGTGAGATGTGAATTTCATTAACTAGCTACCAACTATTCAGATGGAGGTGGCTAGTGGTGGATTTTACCACCATCGTTAGACATCGACACTAAGGTGAAAAGTAGTTTTTAGTATGTACTAAAACAGTGAGATAATAAGGCACGAAAAGGTGATTTTTAAACTCTTTCATTCCTGCAACGATTACATTACTTTTTGGCGCAAATCCTGCGGTTATTGCTCGGAGGTGAATAGCAAAGGATATTTGGAGTTTGAGCAGCCAATCAGAGCGCACCCTCAACGATAACCACTGTTTTAGTTTATACCAATAAAATTTAGGGGCTTAGTTTCCATTGGTCGTTTAACTGTCCGTTTCGACTGGTCCAGTGAAAAGGTACTGCTAGTCAGACAGGTAAAAGTATATAGTTCGGTGACTCCCCTGTTAGAAAAAGTGACAAATAAACGCTGTTAAGGACCATTTAGATTCGGGCACTTTGCTACTGACACAACTTTCTAAAAGGATGTAGATATAGCTTCTTCCATCGGAGGAATACTTTTCTTCAGGAGCCCATCACGTATTGGGCTCCTGTTTTCTGTCAACAGTGCATGTTTGTAAATAGACTACGAGTAGTCCCTCCTTTTCGGCGAAGTCCCTCACGCGGCTCAAAAAAGGTCAGTGGAAAAAAAATTGATGTTAGCGCTTCGCGCGGAACTCTGGAAGTAAGGCACACGGAAACTGCAGTCTGTAATATTTTTAAATTCACGCGACGGAGTGCACCGAAAAGGAGGGACTGCTTGGGTCAAGTTTCAAGTTTCTAAGGAGCTTATCCATTAAAAATAATTTGCCCTAAATTAAAAATTATTTTTCGTGTTTATCTTTTGTTTCTTTTGATCACAGTTGTTGTCATTCGACAATATGCATTCATCAGGTAACATGAGTGTTTATAAATTAATCAGCAAATTGATCCGTTTGTAATAAAAGACCTAGAGAATAGTTATATGTTAGCTGTTGCACATGTGATTTTACTTCGACTCTGTGTTTTAGCTGTTTACTTCTAAAACAAAAGAACAAAAAGGTTGCGACAAAAGTATTTCTAGTTCAAATGTTATCAGAGGGAGATATATCTTGTAAAGTGCGAATACAAATTTTCAACTAGGTCGCCGTAAGGTTCGCCTTCACTCTAAGTTTGGAACCTTGCCACCCTTGATGATGTCATTATCCCCAGCAGCGCCATGGACCATGATTTCTAGGAATTGGAAATACGTTAACGGTTGCAACCGTTAACATATTTCCAACAACAACCAATCCTAGAAGTCATCGGAAATCAACAGCAGCGCCATGAACTATGATTTCTAAGAATTGAAAATTTCACAACGCCCGCCAGTGGAAATTTAGTTCGCGCGTGTCAGATTGACGTTTTCAATTTGAAACCACTAAAAATGTACGTTTAACGGCTCAACAAGAAAGAGCCCACTGATAACTAGGTCGCAAAAAGTATATGTGCAAAGCCCAAGAAAATAGTTAACTTATGCGCAGACATTGTATTTTGCTTCCCTGGTTAATGTTCTCCTAGGGAAGATTGCATGTACGTAATAGTTAACTATGCGACGGCTTAATGGCATCTTGTTTTGACGCGAGATGACTTATCGCCTTTCTGAGGTCTTCTTATTTTCAGGCAAGATTCTGATCGACTCGAATTTTTCTTTCAATAAAGGAATGACTCAGGCCTTACGTCTCTCCTTTGCCATTAGTTTCTGTACCATGACGTTTTAATCCGAATTGTTTTGGGCGGTGTAATCTGCGATTACACATCACTACCGAAATAGTAAATATGGCGTCCATCTCCCCTTTGACCTCGAACTTATGCCCTTGAATTACGCGAATTTATCCTCTTGATGATCTCATGCTTACCCATGGGCTAAACAAATAATACAGGATGTATGACAAACTGATAAAATGTCCACGGCCTTCTGTTACGTGCAAGAAAGTCGAACTACGTGCGTGTGATTTCCTTCCCGAAAAGTGTACGTCATCGATCTGTCACGGGGAGCTACGTGAAATACTGAAAGCACGGACAAAAGGTTTCTTTCGGTCAACATTTCAATCATGATCACGGATAATAAATCTTACAATTATATGCTACCATTTGTGCTTTGATCTGATAGTTAAATCGTTTTTCTTGGCCGTAATTAACATGGTTTTTGGCGAATATTCCCTCCCCCTTCAAATGGAACGAACTACACGCAATAACACAAGAATTCAAATATTCCCGCACCCCTGAAGAACCGATCGAGAGAGATAAATAGACACCCCTTCCTGAAACATGGTACAAACCCTAGGGGGGTACCCTTCTGAAGCAATAAAAGGCCGGAAAAAGGAACTTCGGAACATATCTTGAGTCAACTTAGAACTGCGTTGCTTAATCCAAGTTTAGTTTAGAACTCGGTTCGATTAGTACATTCAGATGGCTAACTTTGGTCTCTCTGAATATTAACAAATATTGGAAAAAATTTGCCGAATTTGTGGAGAGCGATTGAAGAAGGCAAAAGATAAGTATGAGAACAGTTTTCTTTGCGCTGATAAGACGGAGATTATTTTCACAGCCTTCGGTGTCAAAGTTTGTAAAAGATGACCTTGACATGTGCCCTCCTAAGTTCTGCCACAAGTGTTACAAGGTTGCTTTAAGAGGAGGCACACGCCTTGCAATCAATGTGTGGCCTCCACACAAACGCACTGGAAACTGTAGTTTCTTTAAAGATCAACAGAAACCTGGTAGGAAGAAGAAGACTAAACCTGGAATAAAACCCAGAGAGGACTCAGTTGAAACCAGGGAACAAGTGGAAATGTTGGAAGGAATGTCTGGCACTTTCAGCTTCCAACCTGACCCAGCCTCAATCTCATTCTCAGCCCAAAGGAAGCTTATACATCCCTAAAGGAGGAAGTTGGATTGTTCATCATTCGACAGTTCCTTTCACAGTCTCAGGATGGGGCAACCATTCTCCTCAAAAAAGGTGGCCAGGTAATAAAATATTTTTTTAAGTTAAAAATTAAGACATTCATTTTCAAAACTAAAGATAAGAATTCATTTTCAGCCCTTAGAATTAGTGAAAAGGACCAGGGCAAGGAAAACAACTGATGAGGTAACAAGGAAAACTGCTAGACATAGATCAAAGGTAGTAGCAGAGACCAGGACAGCTGTCAGTGGTGGTGTAGCTGGTACCCAGTTGAAAGATGAACTGCGTGCAATGGGCAGACTGGAGAGAGAGGCACTACTGAAGGAGGCCTTAGGAAAGGAATTTAAAATCACCATTCCAAGAGGTGACATCCTGGCAATGAAAGCAGACCTTGGTGAAACATGGTACAAAGTTAGAAAGCTTAGGAGGTAAGAAAAACATGAACAAAAAATCATTAAAAACCCCAAAGATTTTCCAAAGACATTAGATATCAGTAACAGTAACTGTTTTGAGTTTGTATCCAAATTTGCCAACTGCCTGAATACCCTCAATCTGCTTACAAAATTATGATGGTTTGATCTATGGGGACTATCCTCAGAGTGTGAAATAAGCCAACGAAAGCAAGTTCAGTCCATTACTGACCCTGCCAACTTGGTTTGTGAAATGGTCGCATTTGAATTTAAAAAACCAGGTTGCCATCCAGATGTCAGGGAAGCAGAGTTTGGTTATGTTACAGACCTGAACCAATTTATACATCTTCATCTGAGTGAAAATGAAAAGTATGATAATAAAGAAATAGTTAGAAAAAAGGAAATGCAAATTAAACAAAGTTAGCTGTTGCCTATTGCTGTGAATTATAGTCTAATTAGAGTTGGTTATCATTTTAGGAATGGAAGGCTGACATGGAACAATGCAATCCCAGAAAATGAAGTGCACATAAAACTTGGAGGAGATGCTGGTGGTGATTCATTTAAAATGGCCTTCCAGATTGCTAACCTGAAGCATCCAAATTCTAAAGCCAACACAGTGGTCTTTGCCATGTTCCATGCAAAAGATAGTTGGGCTAATTTAAAGCAGCCTTAATGAAATATAAAGAACAGGTAAACACTTTGAAAGAAGCAACCTGGGCATAAGTAAAAAAAAATGTACCACACTTTTAGTTAGTCTGGAGAATAGAGACTTGAAATAGAATTATATTAATTAAATTCTTATTTTTGTTTTGCCCATTTCTAGAGGTAAAAAGAAAGTGGTTTTCCTGTTTGGTGACTATGAGTTCCTATGCAAGTTATTTGGAATAGCTGGTGCCTCAGGTATGATCGAGACAATAATTCACATTTACAAATAATTATGATTTAGCAATTCAATTAAAGAATATAAATGTAGCCTCTACTCTACATTACTATTTCTGTGAAACAGGTTTCCACCATGAGAATTGTATTTGCAGGCAAATATCCATGTCTTTGGTGCAAGATAAATCATGAAGTAATGCAAGTCTCTTGCCATAAACGTGGGCATGCTGAAAAACGAAGTCTTGACAACATTTAAGAGGATTATGATAAGTTTGTAGCAGATGGCTCTGTTACAAGTTGACAGAAGTTTTATCACGATGTGATTCGCGAGAAACTGCTGGACATTAAATTGGACAAAGTAAAGATACAAGAGTTTGTTTTATTGCTTTGAAGAAGGACTTACAGGACACCTAACTAAATGGTTTTCTATTTCAGGTTTGTTGCAGAGGAAGACATCACAAGTTTTCTTCAGTTCCTTAGGGAAAAATTCCCAGACATGACAATCACAACAAAGCTGGATATGCTAGAAGAACATGTTTTCCCTTTTCTTCGACGATGGCACATGGGCCTTGGATTCTACGGTGAACAAGGGATTGAAGGAATACACTCTGAATGCAATACCCGGTCCCATCATTTTAACCATGTGAAGAAAAAGGACACGAGATTGCGTCAAATCTTTGACAACCACCATATACACGACTTTCGCAAGGGCCGCGGCGCGCGAGACTGGTAATTACTTGAACATGAAGTCGAGGTCAAAAAGGTCACGATTGAGGACAACACTGTAAACAGAAGGTCAACTAAGGTTGAATTGGTAATAGTCAGCATGGTCAGCATTATATTCCATCCACCAAAACCACCTCGGTCGAGAGGGACTGGGATGGAATATTTAATGACTTGCAAAACATAATCGAAGATTCTCGGAAATCCGCCGGTGATGTAGCCGAACATCCGAAGCTGTAAATCCCATGATTCTTGAGGAACAAACAGAAACAGCATGGGGGGAATTTTAAAGCGCGAACCTTTGCTTTATGGTAGACATGCAGATAATTTAGGATACGTTAATTCTGTTGATGAGGCGCATAAACTTATTGCGGAATTTGAAACAGGATTGACGACGAAGTTTTCTTGCTTTAAAGCTGACAAAGGTTTCAGGAACACTGGTATATATTTATATTGATATAGCTCTTTGGCATTATAAAGCTTTGCTTTCATGTCCAAATTGAGCACTCTACCAAGGAGGAGTCATGTCTCGCTATTGTGCATTCTCACTAGTTTATCTAGTTCAAGTCCTTTGGCATGGCTTGGATAATACCACAATTGTGGAATCATTTGGGTTAGCTTAATGCTTTCACCTCCTTCCTCGGACAGAAGTCACAAAATACTCTGGGAAGATGTATGAGATATCTATGGAGCAAAAATTCGTTTTTTACTGGTGTGCATTTCCTAATTTTGGGAAGGAAAGTGTTCAATTTCCAGCACGGCATAGATAGAACAGCTAGAGAGAAAAGGAAACGAAAAGATGCAGAAGAAGTACTGTACATAATATTTTCTTTTTATCCGCAACCTTTGTGTTACTGTCACCTATGGCTTGTTAATTCAAAAGGTCAAATACACACATGAATGGGTCATATGACATTGATCTCAGAATACTTTTATGACAAACGTGATAACAGTTCAATCTCAGCTAAATTGAAGATGGTTTAAAAGTTAAAAATTATAAGAACTTTTCACTAACATATGCTGCTGACATTGGAGAAAATACATGCAATTCTGCATTTTTTGCTTTCTCTCAAGCAATCATATGTTGGCTCCTTATCATGCTATGACACTTCCATTTTGTCACATGCCAAAAAATACTTTGAGAAATACACTATCACTCATCTTACACTGTTATGTTTACCTATTACAGAAGGCCCCAAACAAAGATTTTGTTTTCAAGAAATTAAGATTTCTTGTTCAAGACACAAGGAAGTTTGACTGCAAAGCACAGATAAAAATGCAAGAAATTTTATTTTTTCCAGAGAACAGGGTAGTTCTCCCTATGTATAAACAGAACGAATCTAGTTTAATAAATCAGATATGCGGCATGATTCCTTTTCTTCCATCCCCACTCAAAACAAGCAAACACACCTATGGAGGTTTCAGTATTGTCTGCAAATGAAAATGAGGAAGGTGATCACTGCAAAATTAAGCATTAGGGTTCTTATTTTTAACATATTGATTATTGTATACTGATATCAAGAAATTAAGGTTGCAAGTAGCAGCCAGATGAGTTATAGTTTGAGTTTTATCAAGTCCATTACTTTGTTAAATTTAGAGTAACCTTGTCTTGAGAGAGGGAAATTGAGGAGCTGTAATATACTTATCATCAATTAGGGACCACAAGGAAAAATTTTTCTGTAGAGACTTTTGGAGGAGAGGGCTAAGACTTATGACAAGCTGGCAGACACATAGATAAACTTTACTGCTAAACGGGTTACAAAGTGTTCAGTATTTGGATCAGCTATGGCTCAACTTAAATCGTTTGTGGTTTCCTTTCTCTGTGTTTATTTTTCAAGTTATGTTACACAAAAGAACACAAAAATGACAAGGAATGCTTTTGAATATTAAGAGGCTGGAATAAGCAAGAAACCAAAACTGAATTTTAAACAGTACAAAGTTAATTTGATCTTCCAATGTTATTTAATTTTAAATAATCATTAATAGAATTTGCTATTTAAATTTATCCCCTCCATTGTTTTGGATATTGTGAGCAAAAACAAACAATTATCACAAAATACATGGTATACAATGGTTTGATTCACCAATGTGGCAAAGGCCTTTCACCGTCTATCCAAAAAAAGGGAAATAATTTGTAAAATGTAAGACATTCTGCATCTTGAGTGTATACTTATTCATCCATGTCAAATTAAAGGTTACTTGAAATAAATGTGAAAGATTTATAAGATTTTCAGACCCCTGATAACAATTACTGATGTCCTGATTTGTTGTACTCAAAGGTTAGGATTTTAGCGGAAATTCGAGAAATTTCTGGATCTGGAATTTGTTGCAAATATCTGTTTAAGTCAGTTTAAGTCACTTAAAAACTCTCCTGTTTCAAGATTACATGATTGCCACACCAGAACCTTTTATATTTTATATTGTGCACCATATTATGATTATGGTTTCAATAATAAAAGGTGCTGACTTAGGAACTTTGCAAAATATCTCTACATACAAAGAAATAGATTGCAGTTATGTACTCCAAATAGCAGGTCACATCAGTCTTCTGTAAAGGAAGTAGCAGAAATTGCTATGGTGATTTTGGTGGATGGAGAGAAACATCCACCAAAACCACTTTATTTTATGTGTTGTGAGTTATGATAATGATTATGAACGTTTGGTCGGTCAGCAATTGTGCACCATAAAAAATAATTAGCCAGAGCACTAACTACCAATTAGTGGTATAAATCTTTTGTCTCCCTGAAGATCTAACAGTAGCTATAGATAAAATAAAAAAAAATATTGTTGATGGTTTTGGTCAGTGTTTTGGTGGATGTTCCTTGCTGACATCCACCAAAACTACGTAACACCTGGGCACCTTTTAAATACGTGAAATATCTGCATAAAATTGCGTCAAATGTTTTACAATACTACAATCGAACAATAAATTAATACTTACCATTTCTTGAGTAAAAAGTTTTGACGCAATTTCCCAAACAAATAATACACTTAGATCATCGGGATAAGTCGGCATGTTGTCGTAGCTTCGTAATTTTCATTTAGTATAACAAGTCATGAGTTGTCCATCATTCCATCTCAGTCCCTCTCGACCGAGGTGGTTTTGGTGGATGGAATCTAATGCTTGCCACGAGTCCGGAACTAGCAGGGAAAGATCCCAAACCTAAAGAAAGAAATTTAAAACGAAAAACGAACGAGTAAAACTCTTTCCTTTTCACTAGCAATGTATCGGTTCGTTGACTAAGAACTAGTACTATGTGTGTAAATCTAGTGTAATTTATTTGCTCAACTTCTAATTTAGACGAATAAAAGAGTCACCACAATCTTTGGAACCAAAACTAAACCTTTCTAGTCGTTTACAGACTGTTTCGCTTGAAATTCAGTATCTCCGAGATTCAAATGGAGTCGCTGATAACGGCCGATCTTAACATATTAAAAGCGCCTCGAATGGAGTCTCAAACAATTCGGATTAAAACACTTACCTCTGTCAGTTGTTCAGTAAAGTTTCAAGTCTTCTCTTTTGACTCTTGCTTTGCTGGAAAAAATTCGAGCCTTTTCCGAATTGAAATCAAAGTTTTCAGTTGATTTACTAGGGCGTGCTTGTTAGACTCCACCATAGAAACGTGTTTTCGTCGAACACAGGCAAAATTTGACCGATTTTACTCAAATTTTCGACGGCAAGTGCCTATTCCATGTGTAAGCATCCGCCATGCTAAATTTCACTCGCATGCATTAGATACGCAGCAAGATTTCATTGGCTAAACTATATCTTAGCCCAAGGGGTTTCCATGGACGCTAGATTTATGCAAATGCATAATTTTGTATTAACCAGAGAAATAATAACTAGACCCTGTGAGCAGGGTAACTGGGATACCTGGATGGTACTGGATCCTTGGAATCAAGTGTAGTGATACTACGGGTGTCGGACTAGTATACTGAAATAGTGAGCTCAAGTCTGGCCAAGGGCATACACCTGTTTAAAAACATAGGCATGCTATGCATGCAAGAGTTATTTTTTGTGGGGTGGGTGGATTACTTGAAACATTGTAAGCGGTCTACATTCTTACGAAAGGAAAGAAGATTATTAATGCGGAAAAGAATGAAATGTCGAATTACCTCACACAGGTATTCTGTTGTAGATTACGTGTTGTGCGAATAAATGTAACCAAAAATGAACTGTATTGGTGCCACGGATACCTGTTAGTACAAAATGCAGACAGCAGACTGCAGACCGGACTCAAAATATAGACTGCAGACTGCAGAGTGGGTACAAAATGCAGACTGAGAATCTGAAGAGCTTTTACGTCTGGTAGATAATAACATGTCATCTTACAGCTTACAGAGCGTCACGCAATCGCTTTCCCGCGATCAGCCTTCACGATTATTTGCACTATTGTGGAAAATTCCTGGCCCATTTCTCGATGAAAGCCGATTGTAATATAATTTTAAGCCTTCAATATAGTCTTCTTACTTTGCGCGCGGGTTGGTTGGTGTGATGTCTGTACAGATTTTACCAACGTATTAAAAGTAGGTGACGTGAATAACAGTGATGATAAAGCAAGCTTAAAACGGCAGAAATCGCCAGAAACTACAACGGATACACGGGGTATGAGTTAGTTTTATCGTTTTTACGAGAAAAATCTTCATATTTCGAAATATTTATCGTTGTAAGTCGACCATATTTCGTTCCCTATATTATCCCTTATAATATTTTAAATTTTCAACGATTCCTCTCGTAACTTAACACCTAGTCACACAACGCGTGACGCGTTCATGAATTAATCGTTAGCTTTTTCTCGAGACGTGAGCTTGGGCCGCCTGAGACAAGACAACAGCGTAAACAATACTTAACATAATAAAATTATACACAAAAAACACGGGATTTTGGATCATGTATTTATTAAAAAAGAATATCCATACAACTACAATGAACACAAACATAAGATTCACCTTTCTGATCGTGAAATTAATACGATTCGCACTGTTATCGTAGCTACGTTCCCTAGAATCAAGTGAATCCAACATGGCGTCTTTCTTCACAAGCAGTTTGCATCCATTAGAGTTTTGTTCTTCAGTCTCACGGTAGTAGTGTTGTTCAATAGATTGCATAGAGTATATGCAGTTTGGTTTCAGATTTCAGATTTTGCTTTTTACAACAACAACTAAGACATTGGCATACTTGGCATACAAGGTATACAAGGCATACAGGGCATTCAATGCATTCATGGCTTTCAAGCGTTCGCGACTCAGTCCGTTCCAAAATTACCGCTTAATAACATCTTTTCGTGTGGATTGGCCGCGAACAATACGACTTGTATATGCGTCTATAAGTATTTTGAGCGTTTGCGCCATAATGCTCCAGATGATCGTAATCCAAACACGTTGAAATACAAAACGACTGACAAAAGAGTTTTATAGGAAAAAATCTCGTGGTTCGTCATGTGACCCGGCCCTGTCCGTGCATGACAACGTCAATCATCATCAAGATAACGCTAGCAACGACGCGCTTGCCTGATAAGTGTTCGAAGTCCCATCTATAAAACCGTAAACCATCTCGGTAAGTTTAATTTACTTTCCATATATTTTATTACGAATTCAACGAATGATACTCTTATGCAGTAGCTAAATTAATATCAACGCCGGAAGAGACAACCATTTGCGTTGTAGAAGTGCGATATTTATAAGCCGCTGCGGCCGGCACCGCAGGAAGGAAGCGCAAACTGCTCCGAGCGCGTTTTTGTGACGCTTTTGAACACAAACTTCTGTTTACATGTCGTATCTCAGCCAAGAAGACCCTTAAATCGTTAGAGAAAACAGTCCAGTATTCAGACTTCCTGAATCACACAAAGCTCAATACACATCATATTTATTTCACTACAGGATTATTTGTTCAACTAACAAGGATAAATCTCGAAAGTTCCAATAGTCCTTTCACTAATTTGGCGATAAAGGTTGGGCAGTTCCCTGTTTTTTAAGATTTCTTGCTCTGAACATAGCTGGAAAAGAAAGAAATTGCACGACAACTGTTAATGCTTTAATTGATTTTCCTTGTTTATTGTTGTCTCGCTAAACCCTGTGTCATTTGATAACCACTCGGGTTCTCGAGAGGTTCTTTTTAATAAAAATACAACTTACACCTGGCCTACAATGATTCGTTGAGCTACGATCTTATTACCCTAAGGAAGCTAATGCAAAACGATAGGGTTGATGATGCTGTCCTAATTACATAATTATTACAGGAAAAGAGCGTCAAGGAAGAAACTAGTAGATATAAGTTCATGCCAGCTTACGGCAGCATATGATTTCATAGTTCAGACGAAGGACAAAGTCAACCTAAACAGATTTTTATTTATAAATGGACTTGAAGATGCCATTCCTCCCGACCGGGTCGAGACAACCTTACCCGTTCTTATATCTGTAAAACTTAAGATGTCGGTGCAACAAAAAACTTCAAAGACAGCTTTGCCGGGAACCGGATATGCTCGAGTGAGACGTCGCAAAAATCAGTTTGAATAGCTCTAATGTAACGCAAGTCAAGCAGAAACATGAAACTTTGAAAAGCTTATATTTTGACACTATTGTAAATGTTCTAAGAAAATCCTATTACGTTACAGTCATATTATTTCAATTATAACCAGCCTGAGGTGTTGTTGCAATTGCTAGACTTTTTTTTCTCTGATTTCGACAAAAACTACGATAAGAATTGAGAAAAATAACTTTAAAAGCACAATCCATCTCATGCAACATTTTATAATTTTTGCTGTTGACCTTAGGCTCCAAATTTTTACGAGCAAAATAGACATTTATGCACCTATCCTTATCCTTTACATTTCCCGTCCGCAAAAGCTAAAGTCCTGTGACAAAAAGAAAAGAAAAAAGAAAATAAGAGAGGAAGAAAGGCACTAGAGTGGTCTTAAGAAAAATATCCGGACTGTTAAATTACTATTATTAAATTATAATACACAAATACTGGCGATTGAAACGAAAGGAGGCATACGGATGGCTAAATGAACTATTGCTACATGAAATATTGCTACATGAAATATTGTTTATTTAATATTTGTCAGGTTAAAGCCTCAGCTGTTATAAACTATCTTTATTATGGCTTCTCATCCACCGCCAACATCATTTACCAGGGAAGCAGCTAATTATGCACGAAAGTCCTGTGACAAAATTACGAGAGAAATTCAATGAAATGATGCAAAGTCATACTTCAGAGTTGTATGCGAAAGGTCTCTAAGATCCAGAAGGATCCTTAGCCAAGCGCAATGGGACTCCATGAACCCAGCCGTACACGCGACGGTTTCATCTGAGAATTTTGACATCTTAAATTACGTTATTGAACTCAACTAATGGACAAATACTGGCCATTGAAACGAAAAGCGGCATACGGATGAGAATAAATATACACACATGGTTATGTAGCCCTTGCGTAACTACACGCAAAATCGTCATATAGCACAATAGAAATTCCATTTGCTACATCAACTATTGTTCATTTAACATTTGGCAGGTGAAAGCTAAAGCTGTTATAAACTATCTTTATTATGGCTTCTCATCCATCGCCAATATCATTTACCAAGGAAGCAACTAATTATGCACGACTTTGTCGGCTACTGATTGAAGTGGGCTCCCAGGTATTACGAGAGAAATTCAATGACATCCATGACCCTGCAAATCTCCATGTCATACTTCACAGTTGTATGCCTAAACTGAAGTCTCTAAGATCCAGAAGGATCCTTAGCCAAGCACAGTGGGACTCCATGAACCCAGCCGTACACGCGACGGTTTCATCTGAGAATTTTGACATATCTACCTTGTGCGTGCTCTTGATAAACATCTGTAACCTGTCACCTCCAGCAACAGGTTGGAGACGCCCTCCAGCTCCAACGGATCACTCTGTTGGTGCAGACATTTTAAGAGTGAGACATTTCAGAAATTCCTTGTATGCGCATGTCACGAAGGCCTCCATTGATGAAACCAGCTTCAACAGCTATTGGAATGACATTCGAGAAGTATTGGTGAGATTAGGAGGGGCGAAGTATGACGAACTGATAAGAAAAGTGAAAACTGAATGCATGGATCCTGATACTGAAGAAGATTACAAAAGCCTTCTAAAAGAATGGCAAAAACAAGATGATGACATTAGAGATCGACTCGAATCGATTGACGAAAAAACGGAAAAAACCCATGAGTTACTGATCGATTTAAAAGACCATGTAGTGTCTCTAGGAGGTATCCCAGGTAGGTCAATCAAACTGTGCAACTAGCAGTAACTGAAATATCGCTTTTATGGCTGTTATTTTATTTTCACTGGTGACTCCTTTCTGATGAAGAGAGCTCAGCTCCAAATCATCCTTTTTTTTATTTCCATGCGATAATTGGGTTCATAGGTCTTTTAAGGTACTAAGTCCCCCTTAAAACTTTAGAACAGAAAACGCTAATAAAGATGTTTTCCTATTCTCTTAAGTAGCTATCAAGGCGATCTGTTTTCGCTTTTTTAGAAAGTCAAAATTAAATTGTTATTACAGTGAATCAAAACAGAGATTTCTGCTTCGTGTTTGCTTCAAACATGTATATATCAAATTACCCAATCAGGATATAAAAACTGAGGCCGAAAATCAGGGAAAGTAACCTTTTCAAATGAACGATCACTTTATAGAATTATTTACCTTGACACAGAAAATTAAGTGCTTGACACAGAAAATGAAG